TTCCACTTCTGGGCTTCGGTCAGTTTCGGCTGGCGGCGCATTTTGAGCCAGTTGGAGCGCTTTAAGGCCAAGTCACGTGGTCATGTAGTTGTGGACAGTAGTCTTGGACACCGGGTCACCTCACCTTCTCAGTCAGCTTTTTGGCCAGTTTCTGCGTCTCTCGGTGTCGTTTCAGCACGGCTTTGGCGAGCACGATTTTGGCCACTCTGCTCAGCAGTCTTTCTCCCACGACCCTGCGATTCTCCGTGGATGTACCGCTGCGGTCGAGAGCCAGCCAGTAATGAAGGTTCCGGCGAAATGCACCCATTTGTCGGGTAACATAGCCTACCATCATCCCGGCTTCAACCATCCCAACCGCGTGGTGGGGCGTCGCCTCGCCAAATGGTGCTCCCTCAACATTCCCGATATGGGGTCCCCGCGCGAAGACTGCCTCTCGAAAAGTCACCTGTGGCCGCTCCCTGCGGCTGGGGTCAGGCCATCTGCTGGGTCATATGATTGCTGACACGTAGGGGTGCCCGGGGATGGGGTCACGACCCTCCCTAACCGGTTTAGCGGGAGCACGTGCGAGATACCTACGGGCATATGGACAGTGTGCAAGCAATTTCCGGACATCCTGTATGACATAGTTGGCAAGACTCTGGAGTAGGTAAGAGCCTTCCTCGCTGACAGAACCCAGCAGGTCATAGTCGAAGGGGCCAGGTACGCAAGATCAACAGTAACCAGTGGAGTGCCACAGGGCTCTGTGTTGGGACCTCTTCTGTTTCTGCTTTACGTCAACGACATACCCGACCACATCTCGTCCTCCACCAAGCTGTTTGCTGATTGCTGCAAAGTGTTTCAACTTATGCACTCCCCAGAGGCCGCAGATGTGCTCCAAGGCGACTTGAATAAGCTGGGAAGCTGGTCGCAGCTGTAGCAGCTTCCGTTCAACTTGGACAAGTGTCATGTTCTACACCTTGGCCCTGGAAACCACGACAGCGACATACACAATGCTGAGGAGACCACTGGAGGCCACGGAGAGCGAGAGGGACCTGGAAATAGCTGTCGATGGGTCACTCGACTTTCACCAACAAACTGCAACAGCTGTCACAAGGGTCAACAGGGTTCTGGGCCTTGTTCATATTTTTTTGCGAACCTCGGCGTGAAGTCTGTCCTCGCTTTTCATGTCCTTGATTCGGCCACACCTGGAGTTCAGCAACTGCATCTGGGGTCCTTACTCGAGCGCGTGCAGCGTGGTGGTGAGAGTGCAGCGCAGAGCAACACAGCTGGTGCCAGAGCTACGTACTAAGCCCTACTCTACGAGACTGCGAAGTGCGACTGCTCAGTTCACTGTCGCTGACCTACCGCCGGCGCCGGGGCGACATGATCGACATCTGCGCAATGGACGTTGCGCAACCATCGTCGACGTTCGTCAACCACGACGCAACGGATGGTGATAATGGACTTCTCCGCCTAACCAAGACTGGGATTACGCGGAGTCGCGGCTTCAAGCTCCACAAGCCTAAAGCCATCTCCAGAGCAAGACGAAACGTCCTCAACGTCAGAGCGGTCAACAGTTGGAACAGTCTGCCTCTCCACGTCGTTGCAGCATCCTCTGCCAACACCTTTAAATCCCAACTGGACATCCTCCGGGTAGCCATCCGCTTCGCCTCTCTTCTTGGCCATCAATACTCTTAGAACGAGCGAGTACATAGAGTAAAGATCCGGTCCAACAGGCCTACACAGGCCTCTAAATTCCATGTATACCTACCTGAAGTAAGGTAAGATCTCCGTGGATTTCACACAACAAAGCACTAGAAGATGCTTAGGGATGTCTGTCGTCTCCTAAGCTCCTGACACTCGTAGTCAGGTAGTAATTCGTATTGGCGCGTTTAAAACGCCATCAGCAGCTCCGCCTTCCCCAACAAGGCACTCTTCGTTCAACCTGGTGATAGTACACCTGCCGTTTCCTCAACTGCTGCCAAATGGTCACTCGCGTCCTCGATACTTGGGGTGCATCGATACAATATTTTCGGAGTCATTGTAGGTTATCTTCAATTGGTGTCGCCTCTTGCACAACTTCCAAATGATAAAACCCTACAACGCCCAGTGGGTCATTACTACCGGGCGAGTACAACTATTTCTATGTCAAGCCGCCCCATATCCCGTTATTCTGCACAAAAGCCTACGACTATCGCTGCACTTCCACAAGCAGGCTTATTGCTCGGTTGACTCAAACAGTTCTATCGTCCCAAGGTCACCGTCGAACAGGGCGGTGTTTCACGGCCCGACGCTGCAGTGCGCTGCTGTTTTGACGCGGCGTATGAGACGAATTCGGCTCGACGCTTCAGCATTGCGACCGTCCGAGTTTGTTGATGTTTCCATGGAAACTCTATGCACCGCTGCGCGTAGCGCGCTGCAGCGCAGTGCCGTGAAACACTACCCTAGTGGCGCCTCTAGTGGACACTCACAACACCTTCTGCGCAGCACGCTTCGCACAATGGCCGCGCGCCGACTAATGTCCAAGGTCACTCCGACCCCCGGCCGCCGCCGCCAACGAACCGGTGGCGCCTCTGGTGGACCTTCACAGCACCACACGCAACGCGTCAGTCGCGCATTGGTCGCGAGCCTGCCCATGTCCCACTTCCGCCCGCCGCCGCCGCCACCGAACCGGTGGCGCTTCTGGTGGACCCTAGCGGTACTACACGCCGAGCGTCTCGTGCAGCGGCCGCGCACCGACCAGTACCCAAGGTCACCCGCCGGCCGCCCCCCCCCCCCCCATCCCTGGCTGCCGCTGCCGCCGAACCGGTGGCGCCTCTGGTGGACCCTCGCGGTACTACACGCCGCGCGCCGACCAGAGCCCAAGGTCGCTCCGGTACCCGAGCCGCCAACACCGTGGAACTGGTGGCGCCTCTGGTGGACCCTTATCGTACTATCTGAGGCACGGCTCCGACACAAAGGAAGCCATGCGCCACCGCCCAAATGGGACGACGGTGAAAACAGGGCGCCTGGGGTGATTTGATCAAGGTTCGTGAAATTTACACGTGACGTGTAGCATGAAGAAGGCCCACGGAGGGGGAGAAATTCCAAATGTCACGGGACTAATATGCCCTCCGGCGCCCTGTTTTCACCGGCGTCCCCCAAATGGAGCCTAGATAAACATCTGGCATTGCCTTGTCCCTTGATATCTTAACTTTCACTGACATGATGAAACTCAGAATTTGAGAAGTACAAATAACATAGTAGCACATTACACACCATCACTTTAACTGTGTCAAGCATAGGCAGGAAATATTGAAACATCCATCAGTTCTTGAAATGCAGATATTTGTTATCAAAGTCTAGATAATTCCAGATGCTACCACCAGGCATGAGTCTGCCTCATAGGTACTTATCTGCGTTCACAACACGCTGATCTGGAATCATTCCCTCTTACCTGAAGGATACTCTGAACGCTTTTGGATAAAAAGTAATCAGCTCAGTAGCAAATGCTGAATACTTGTTCCATCAGCAATGAAGATAAGTTGTCACTGGCATGATGGCATCGCTAGAATATAACACAGCCACACACCCCACGTACACGACGTCTCCCCGTCAAGCCCGGCGTCGCAAAACTGCGCTTGCCCGCGCAAACAAAGTGCGCCATGATTGTATCATTAGCTAGTGGTGTAATGTGCCAACAATTATCGATGATTACACATTTAGTCCTCGATGCTGAGCAACGATTCTCGTTTATTCGAACTTGAAAGTCTTGCTATGATTTGGAAACATTATATGCATTACAGTGAACAGAGATTGATGACCAGTTTACCTAAACGCAGGTTTCGGTGCTCATCTGGGCTGTTTCAGCACTAGGTCATCGGTCTACATATCGTTAGCGACGACCAATGAAAAATCAGCCCGCGAAAGACGATATTTTACGTCCCCAAAGCCCACATACGTCATGCATGCACGTGACATTGTCCCTCGTTGGTCGTCCAATGTTAAATTTCTAAACTCGTCTGGTCGGCCCGGGCAGCCGGGGCAGCCAGTAGCGAAGGAATACCTTCAGGGGGGGGGAGGGGGGGGGGGGGCACTGCCGACTTGGTCCCATTCTTTCCATGCAACGCCCATAGGGCTAATGTTAAAATGCCCAAATCAAAGGGGGGCACGGTGCCCCGGTGCCTTCCCCGTTCCGCCGCCTATGCGGGCCGCAGGGCTTCGATCAAGTTTCTCAGGTAAATAGCTTCGATACCAATCGCGATGCATAAAAATACCTACTAACTAAATACCGCAGTGTCCGTTGAATACACTGAATACCTTTATCAATCTTTTTTTTCAAATAACCCGTGTCAAGTTCTTAATTTACCCTAGATCTTATCGAGTTGCTCGCATATGCATCACCTGATTAGGGATCGGTGAATTGTGGGAACTCAAAGGTTTCGTGGGTTTCAATTCTCAGACACGGGGTAGGGGCATTCGCAAAAATCGTTCCCTTTCTCGCTTTTCGATTCCTCAGCTTAGCTGATAAAAAGGTTATTTTGGCCAAAATTGAAATTGACGAATTTGCGTCAACTGCGTCATCCTCGAAGAGTAAGAAATTGAACAGCTTTTTACTTTAAAAAAATATAGGTAGAGAATCGTGCAACACGCCGTTTTCAGCGACTTTCGTTGGTACGAAGCATTTGGAAAATTTCCTTTTTTAGGGGATTTTCTTTTTTGATGAGTTAAGGGGGGTGGGTGGGGACGCCAGAGCCGAATACCACCTCCTGTATCAAGCTGCCCTGAGGAACTCGACACACGACGTCGGGTTAGATTCCATTTCATTGGATCGTCACATTTGGTCCAACTCCAGATACTTGTCGGTGGATCGCTCCTGCCTTTCACATCAGCACACGAATGAATGTCATATGGCTCACGAGTCTAATCGAATGAATTACCACTTAGCGATGCAACGGGGTCTTACATCTACAAGTAAGGACCGAACGCGTTTCGCGTTTCTTCGCTCCAACTCGCAGCTTTACAACGCAGCTTGCTGTAAGTGTACACGCCATCGACCATAGTTTATTCTTCATAAAATCACACGAGAACCATAAAACCTAGCATTCTGACATAAAACTTAACTCATCCGAAGCGCCATCACCAACTAACAGAAATATCACATATTCTGGCGCGGGCCTGACCTCAAAGCGCGACAGGTACGCATATCATCATATGATGTGCTAGCACATGACGAACAGAGCTGTGACGCACTCGTTAACATACACGGAAACACCTCACCAGATCTCAGTCAATCTCAGACAGCTCATGGAATGTAAAAATATATGCATTCGGATCATTCAACGAGCCAATAAAAAGAAATCAACAAAAACAATGCCATAATAGAGCTTTGAAGTCCAACAGAAAAAAATGACCGCAAGCAAATCGCGCTCTGAGGCCATAAGTTTCGTGATTTCAGCCAGCGCATGGGGCACGGAGTCATTACTCCAAGATTAGTCCAGAAAAGCCACACCATCAACAAAACGATAGGACGAATGTTTTGCAACGAGCAAGTGGCAGATTGGCTCGTGTCTCGCTCTAGTTAACCTAACGCTGGTTAACTACTGTGCTGTATGGTTAAATTGTTAATTCTAATAAAAATAATACATTGTAGTTATCTTGCAGCACGGATGCATAGAATCAACGAATATCATATTTTAGGTACCAAGTCGGTACGCACAGCAATATTCCCAAGCTACGTGCCCTGAACGAAGCGTCAATATTTCATATGCATAGAGGATCATAGTGTCCTTCTGACACGACAGTGCTAGCGGACTTACGATGTCACTCTGTTAAATAGACTTCGGACGACAGCCGGCACCGACACAACCACGAGCGGAGCCCTGAATGTCACTAAGGCCCTCCCACCGCGAATTGTGAGAGAGGAGCTGCGCCTCGAGCTCCAAAAGTGGAGCCGGGGGCAGCTGGAGAGTGTTCCCGTACACCAAATAATGGACGGCACAGAGAGGACAGGACCACCACGACAGGGGGACATAGACAGGGTAAAAAATATCCTCAGATGAATGTCTTCCAAGTTCGAACCCGGTAAGATCCAAGGAGATGCATTACGCCTACGGGCGACGCACCCCTTGAAAGCACAAACCCCATCCCAACTAATACCAGTTGCCAAAAATATAACATTTACTACCCCGCTCGGACATCACTTGAAAAATGACCTGTAGTCCTTTGAGTGTTTCCGTTTATACGTTTTCTTCATTTTGAAAAGGAAGAAGGCGAGTACGAGGGTGACGAAGCTGAAGACCCAGAGGAGGACGCAGAGACTGATGTCGGAGCCACTGAGCAGACCCGAGGCGGCCGCGCCCTCCGACGACCCGCTGCGGCCCAGCACCCGCGACACCAGCTCCACGCGGTTCCGGGCGCCGGCGGCCGGCAGCGCCTGCGGCACCGGGGCGCAAAACAGACGTCAGCCGGCACAGGTCAGCGGACACAGGTCAGCACACAGGTCAGCGGACACAAGTCAGCAGGCACAGATCAGCGGGCACAGGTCAGCCGAGGGGTCATCGAGCACAGGTCAGCACACAGATCAGCTGACACAAGTCAGCGTATGGGATACGGTCAGCACCAGCACAAAGTACTGGGAACGGACATATAGCCTGGACTGAGGCATCATAGTCATGTGACGATGATAAGCACACGGGTAGTTGTTTGCTGACAGGTGACGAGCAGCTTACCTGAGCTAGTGCTCAATATTTGCGTTCAAAACTACAGGTAACGATTGTAAAGCGAAACAAAGTCGGGAAACCTACTAAATATGAGCGTTTCCCTCAGACATTCGCAATAAAGCTAAAATTTGAGGTTCTATAAAATTGATGGGAAAATCGGGGGTAAATTGGGATGGATATCAATTATCAAAAATCATTACATACCAAACCATCTACCGAACCATTGCACCAAGAGCGTTCGTGCACATAATAATACTGGTAAAGGTCGTTACGGAAAGTGAAAAAGGAGAAAGTGACAATGGCAGCGGGAGTGGAAAGTTTCCTCAAATGCGGCCTGTCGATAAAATGACAAAATTTCAATGCGGTAGGTCGGTGACTTCAAGCATAGGATCTATAATGCGAGCATTTCAAGCTAACTGAGAAAGGCACGTCCAGATTCACATGCTCAGGAGCCCGCGGGGTACAACGGCATTCGAAAATTCGAGGCGCCATCTCGGGATACACCCAAGCCGAAACTACAGTGACTACTGTCCCTTGCCGACCAGGTTTCTGGCAGGACGAGGGTCGGTGTCGGCGGAAACTAACCTCGGTGCTGCCCGCGCCTACAGCTTTACGTGAGCTCGGCCGTCCGTTCGACCTTTGAGACCACCCACGCCAGTCCGAGCAGCCACAGCCACTAAAGGTCAACGGAACAAAACTCAGCAGCAGCAAAAATCAATGTTAAACTTTAAAGCGTAACATGTGCTTGGTGCAACTAGTGCAAAACGTAAAGAAGGACGAAAAATGGATCCAGACTTTCCCGTGGGTTTCACGCTGATCAATTCTTCGATGTTGTATTGATGAGCGGATGAAACAAGTAGCGCGCACATAAAATACCCGAAGTACTTCTAATTGCAGTAAAATCAAACCACGCAATTTAATTTACGAGTAGTTGAAAGTATCACCTCTCCAACGAAGCCACAGTTTTCGAAAGGCGGAAATTCACTAGGAATGACCTACTGAACAAATAACTAGTGAGCTACTGCGAGTAGGCCAGCGAAAACTTCACGCCACGTTACCATTGACTTTTCTCTCTGGAAAAGGCCTTAGTTTGATGGAACCAGCGGGAGGTCTAAGGCCATACATAGGGGAGATCACGAGAACTATCTCCTCAGCAAATCGTTTTTCCATTCAAACTGAAGATCGGCAGGATCGGATCGGATATTTCGAAGGCGGAGGTCGTATTGTTCACTGAAGGTAGGAAATGGCGGCGTTGTAGGTACGGACGGTGGATGGTGGACCGGTGGTGTGGAGGATCCCGGTGTCAGGGTCCTTCCCCGGTCCTCCCCTCCGTATTTACCGCCGCCGGCCGGAGTCCCCCGGCCGCCGCCGCCGCCGCCGCCTCGTCCTCCGTCAGGGAGTCCAGCTTCATCGCCTCCTTGCCGTAGAAGCTGTGCAGAAACGAGATGATGATGGGCTCGAAGTAGGTGTCTCCGGAGAAGCAGGCCAGGCACTGCGTCTGGGTGGGGAACTGCACCTTGGGGTGCTGCGGGTCCTCGGTGGCGTCTCCGGCCAGCCGCTTGTTGACGATGTTGTGCGCGCGCCACAGCCAGATCATGGCCTCGTTGGTGTGTGTGACGTTAAACAGACCCTCCTTGGCAGACATCTCCTGGAAGTGCTGGAAACGAAGGGAGACAAACAATGAGCGCAAAGAGAACCACATGGATGGAGCGATACATAGGCGCCACAAACATGTACTGAAGTTAAATGACATTACTGCATAATCATTCGACACTCAAATTATGCCCATGGCATTTGGGTCTTAAAAGCCCCGGGCACACTGAATATCAGCGACGATTGGAGAAGTTCGGGCCAAGAAATAATCCCGGATAGTAAAGTTATCACAAACAACTGTGAATTAGTCGTCTTTCGATAGCGAAGACGCTGATAACAAATTAAAAAGTGGTATTGATTGCAGCTAGCTCACCTGTGAGCAGTGCGCGCAGCTGAAGAAGTGTTTGACGTAGCCGTGTATGGCCGGCAGGATGCTGACGGTGTTGCTCTCCTCCAGCTGGTGCGCCTGCACGGTGGCCGCGTGGAACACCGACCACAGGCCGCACGTGTAGCCCCGGAAGCCCGGCCGGGAGCCCCTGCAGCCATGCCACGGCCGGTGCGGCGGCAGCGGGCTCCGCGCCTTCTCCAGGTGACGCTGAATCTCGGCGCCGCCCACCCTCTTCTTGCCTTTAAGGAACATCTTCAGTTCAGAGACGGCCTCTGTGACAGACTTCCTGACGGGCAGATACTTGATGAGCATTTCGACAAAGTTTCTCAGCGCGGACAGGGCCTCCCCGGAGATGTCCTTTTTGCCGGCGACCTCCTGTCGCAGCGCGTACCCCACGGCGTTCTCCAGGTCGACCATGTAGACGGCGTCTCCGGCCGACACGGCCGTGCCCCGGCCCGGCTCGGCGGCCGCCGCCGGCGCCTGGCCGTCCGTCCGTGCCGTCCGCGGGCCGTCCGGCGGCTGCTCGCTGTCGGTAACGCCCAGAGCCCGGCGCAGCGCGTCCGAGAACAGCTTGCGCGGCGGCAGTCCGTCGCGCGACACGAGCTCCGTCTGGGGCTGTCCGTCCCGGAATGTGACCAGCAGCGGTCGGGCCGTCTCTGTGGGCCGCAGTCCGAGCGGCGGCAGCGCGGTGCGAGCCACCAGCAGCCGCTGCCGGTGCACGCTCAGGTCGAGCGCCACCTGTCTGCCGACGCTGCTGTTGGCAGAGCCCTCGACCACCAGGGCGTGCAGCGGCTCCGGCGACGACAGAAACTCCGACAGAGAACCGCTATGGCGGGGTGGGAGAAAAACTAAATCAATGTCAACTTTTGCCTAAGACGACCCGATATTTTCCGGCATACCAGCTGTTGGCTCTGCAAACGATACGCTTTTATCAGCCACCAAGGCAACAAACGAAAAATAGGCCGTATACCACGGAAGAGATCTGCACAGTTTCCTCCATCCTCCTCACCTGAACGGGGCCAGGTTGGGCCAGCCGGGCGGGTGGGTCCTAGCCTGCAGGTCGGTGACGTGGTTCACCAACAGCTCCAGCATCTCCTCCTGCAGTTTGTGCGACACCTTCTCGCCCATGTCGCCCTCCTTGGCCATCGGCGCAAACAGCTTCACCCACGGGTAGCCGCCCACGTCGTAGTTCCGGCAGATGGCCAGGTTCTGGGAGCGGGCGCAATTGATGGCGCCCACTTTCAACACAGAGCCCCAGTCTGGAAAAGGCGGCGGACAGGTCAGCGGGAGGCAAAATGACGAAAGGAAATACAGAGTACAATGTTTCGTTATGCGCCAGCCTTATTGACGTTCCACGCTCGCTTTAACGAGAATAGTTTTCCTTTTCATATTCGCTAACTGAGACCTCTGACAACTCACTGGCGGTCTGCTGAGCGATCCTCAGCCAGGTGGGCGCATACAGCTGGCAGTGGCCGCACCAGCTGTTGTAGAACTCGACGGCCCAGACGTGGTGCTGGCCGTGCAGCAGCCGCTCGAAGTTGGAGTGGTCCATGTGCACCACGGCGCTGTCCTTGCTGTACAAGTCGACAATGTCGTCCTCACCATCTTCGCTGCTGTCGCTGGCAGAGACGAACAGCAGGCCGGCCAGCAGCAGCAGCAGCGAGCTCTTCATCGCGCCTGGAATAGTAGCAACGACAGTTATGCCTAATGTTCAATCTGAACAACTGACAAGTCGCATTCCAACCACCAAAATGTCTGAGCAGACATTTCTGTAAGTAGACAAAATGTCTACTTCAAAGCACTTTGAAGTAGACATTCTGTCTACTTTACAGAAAGCCACACAGGTAGCTCGGAAAGCCCCGGCAAACCATCTATACGTCTGGTTTTCTAATACAGCGGGAAACTACGATTGTCGGTTATCGGCACTTCTTTCACACTGAATCCGTCATGCAACGACGCTGACAGCAAACATCCTAGCATTGATTTTCCACAAACCACCCGCGTCTGCACGCTGGGCCTCTACATGCGTGACTGCAGCAGGGTGTGTTGCGTCCGTCACTGGAAACAAAAACTGGCCGGCGTCGCTGGTCTGTTCCGCCGCCGTGTAACCAGAGGTCCAGTCACGGACGACCGAAGGCCGGCCCACGGGGCACCTTGGGACGGCCAGTTTTTTTAACACAGTAGTATAAAGCGTAGATAGCAGCTCCGCTAGCCGACCCCGCCCCTTCCGGGTGGCCCATCAGACATCAGGCTGGCAGAGGTGTGGGTGAAACCGGCAGTATTCCACACCATGGCGATAGGGCATACCTAACGTAGAATGTCGTCAATCGTCATTGAAATATATTCCTGCAACAACGCTTCTTATAATGGGTGAACAGCCCGGATAACATTTCAGGCATTAATGCAGAAGCGAATTAACACCAACGATGCGTAACTGAATCAAAGCTAAATGCCAAATTGAAATGCCTTTTCCTAACATCGTACATTGGATGCGACGATCGAGTTTCACTTCGAGCACCTGGCTGCCAATGTTTTCTAAACATTGACCATGATCAAAGGGATATCCCGTAACGACGAGGCGCCCTCAGTACACTGGCCGGATGTTTGCCGGTTGTTTATTATGACTTTAGGGTGTCACAATCCGAGGTCCCAATTAACCCGATACACGGTGAAGTGCAAAACCACGACCAACTCAACTCGTTGAGCAGCCACAAATCAAAGGAATCATAGAAGCAAAGTTCGGTGTCAACCAAACGATGCCGTAAACTCGTAGCAACAATGAAGCGGGTTGATATGGCCTATCAGCGTTCGCTACAGACCGCATGATGCAACCGAACACCTGCAGACTGCAAAAGGGAGAGGAAATACTGCACCGTTTTTTCGAGTTCGTTAAAGAGTTGTTTTCAAGTCACGGCGACAGTAACCATGATCGAGCGAGCTATCACGGCGAGTAATGTGTGGTTAACATACGCCTTAGATTGCCAACGATTCAGTTAGCAGCGCATTGTCAGATGCCACTAGCGCAATGCAAATATTAACCAAACTCGCCTGAATTTCGAAATATTGTTTCAAACACTGTAAGCTATAAGTGATATAACAGCGCTCTGAGTGACACCATCCACGTGGCCCATTCCCGAGCATTCATTCACTGTGAGGCACTACCGAAAAGAACACGTCGGAAGCCTGCTACAGCTGTTTCCGACGCAGTGGTCCTGTCGACAATGACTCGCCTGAATCGACCCCAGTAATGTGTGGCACAGCACATCAGCCACCGAGCACACGCGTACCGAGATAGGACCTGTTCGCAGGTGTCAGATGTCTCACCAGCTGCCGCGCACCAGCCGAGTCGCACCACCACCTCAGTGCCACTGCACCGCCGAACTTCTCAGGATCGAGCCGCTCACGTCAGCAATCAGCGCAGGCACTTTACGGGACCGGTCGACACCCCGGCTGGAAATTTTACTGCGCCAATCAGCGCACCCGCGACCCGCACCGCCACAACTCGCCTCGTTTCAAGTCTTGTGCAATCTGACACGGCGCAGCAGACGCGGCTGGTTACAGATCCACCAGCCGGACGGGGCTCGGCTGATCCGCACTGTACGGCTGACGAGTCCCCACTGCGGGGCGCTCAGCGCCGGTCAGCGGTCCCCGTCAGCGGCGGGCGGTGGGGGTGGGCGGGCGGCACCCGTCGACCCGCTCCCCTCCCCTCCCCACCCAGCGACCCCCGGCGCGGCCGTCCGGCACTGACGAAGCCGTGCGACAGTCCGGCAGCCCATAACCTGCCCCTCCCCCTACCCCCCCCCACTCCAACCCGACACCTCCACCGACGGCGACAACGCTGACGACCGACAGTCGCTCGGTTTTAAATGTCAGCACGCGCCACAGTCACCCCCCCCCCCCCCCCTCCGCCCACAAATGGACCAGCTGAGTGACAACACATAAAGGTCGCCGTCACACACAAGAACAAACGCAGCGATAAGAGCAGGAAAATTGGACATGTTTTGCCCGGACAAAGGAGACAAAACTTTCTCGACCGCAAACTAAGCACAGGCAGCGTTGTTTCCTGGCCAGGCCCTCGTCAATAATTTTCACTGGTTGGGCATTGGGGCTTGGGCAACTACGGGCAGCGCGTCAACAGGCATCCTTGACCGAGAGGGGACATCGTCGTGGGTTAAGAATTACATGCCCCATATTTCATATTCTCCCCTTTTTCGTTGCGGCGGCGGTGTGAGCTGGAGCTCCATCCTGCTGAAAAATGGCCTGCGACATGTCGGGCAGAAGTTTGACAGCTTTTGGAGGCCCATTCTCCGCCCGTCGCCTCGTCGCCGATATCGTCATCCCCTCAGCACTTCCTCCACGTAGAAATCCTACGTGACGGTTTTGCCGCGGGGCACGATGATGTGGAGGTCTGAGAGGCCACGGAAGCTCATCATGCCCCGGACTATCACCTCGGTCAGCTGCTTTACGGTGTGGGAGATGGCCACTTCTGAGCTGGTACTGGCCGACGCGGTCGTTTTGGCAGTTCGGCGGGTGGTACAACTCAAACGGAGAGTCGTCTGAGAAGAGCACCCGCCTCCAGTCCTGTCTGGACCAGTTGAGGCGACCTCGCGCCAAGTGGCCAAGTCCAGCCTTTTCTGTTGCTGGGCTGCTGTCGCCTGTCAGTCTTGGCTGCCTGAGCAGTTTTAGCTGCTTCAGCTGCAGGCAGTGCCGCAAAAAGCGATGCACAGCCGATGCATACAGGGCCCATGAACAGCCCTTAGGTTTTGTTAATTTTGCTTGTATTGTACCTGATTTTTTTAGCATTAAATAATTGTATGAACAATTTTCGGCATAAATAAGCCTGGCGTCCCAGGAAAATGCCAGATAACATTGTAGGTTGTAGGTTTGTCAGTTTGTAGGCCAGACTGGAAAACATCCATACACTACGCCGGTCGCCGGACGCCCGTGAGATCCTGTTGCGCCGAAATTCGGCGCAAGCAACAATTAAGTGCCTATTTGTGCGAAAATTAACCCGCGCACCGACGGGGGGGGGCGGATATCCGCCCCCCCCCCCTGAGGTTTTTCGCGAATAGCGGGAAAACCGCGGCGCGTAGCGCCGCGAAATTTGGTATGACTATTCCCTTATCAATTTTACACATGGTGTGCAAGTTTGAACCTCCTACCTTTCAAGGTCAGGTCACCAGGTCACTTTGAATGACCCAACCTCAAGTCACTTTTTTTGCAACTTTGTCACCGTGCCAGAGCTACAGAAGATGTCGGAGACCTTTGAAAGTCGCAGGATGTTATTAGGTCATTAGTAGCTACAATTTGTATATCTCGGAATTTTGATATCGGTGACCTAAGGTCAGGTCAATTTCGCGACCTCCCCATATAAGTCAATGGGGGAAAAGCCAACTCCCTGTTTTTACCACTAAAACGGGTCGGAATGGCCCCATATACCATACATGACTTCATATACGATCAACCTTCACTACCTTGAGGTCTGTTTTGCTGTTGGGCAGCTGTGAGGTCATGTGACGTCATCAAAGGTCACCAAAGGTTTTTGGCCAATAACTCCGTACAGGAACAAGATACAGACGCGTGGATGGTCTCATTGTGTTCAGCTCGTCAAGACGCATCGAATGATATACATGATGACCTCGAGGTCACGTGACCTGAGGTCAACCTTTGACCTTGACCTTTCGAGGTCAACATATATATCAATCGACGCGGATTGACGAGAGGATCACGATGATGCCCTTAGTTTGTACCTATCTTGACTAATTCGAAAGTTATTTGAGAAAAACTCTCTCCATATTCAGCGCCGCCATTTTGACTTTTTCGACCCCTGTGACGTCATCTTTGACCTGACCTGAAAATGACCTTAGTAAAAATTGTAGATCTTGACCGTGCGTATCCGATGCCGTTTACCGCTTGTCGCTATCTTGCTTCGTTTTCGAGATCTCAGGGGGGGGGCGGTCATCCGCCCCCCCCCCCCCGTCGGTACTAAGTTGGCGCAGACCCCCGTCGGTGCGCGGGTTAAGCCCTTTCATATAAAGCACATGTGCACATCTACTGATCAAGGCTATATCAACCAGACAGTGTTTCGGGGCCTTGTACGCTCTCCCATGTTTGAGCGTCCGAATGAGTTTTTTATTTCCACGTAAACCGAATACCTCGGCGGGAGCCAGCGAGGGCCGGGCAGCGGAGCAGCACGTGCTCGGGAACATCAGCCTCTTCTTGGCTCACGGTGCAGAGCGCCGCGCCGTACTGGAGCGAGCGGCCCCGGTGACCCGCCATCATCTGGTGCACCGAAGTGGCATCCTCTCGGTCCTCTCCGGGGATAGGCAGCGGCGGCGTGCTCCCGAGGAGTGGCTTGAATAGTGATTCTAAGCAGTTGTCGCGCCATTGATGCGAGGCCGCACAATGAACCGCCCTGGTCAGCGATCGGGCGTTTGAGGGCAGGGCGGCCGCCTGTTTTGCCAGGTCGTCCGCGCTCTCATTCCCCTCGATACCGCAGTTGGCAGTAACCCACTGCTATTGCTTAACGACGCTTGGCGACGTTCAACAAGGCATCCATACATACAGAGAAGTATCTCTACGCCGAAGGTTGAGGCCTCACCTGGGCGGCCGTTCCTCCGCTGAGTAGATTCAGGGCGGCTCGCCAGTTCGAGCACGCGACGACCGGGGCAGGGACGTCTCGTCCCGAAACCTCTCCAGAGCCGGCCGCGGGGCGAATCTGCTGCTAGATTGACCAGCGTACCGCATGAATTCGGTGACCGTCTTTCGCCAAAAAATTATGCGATCGCCCTGCGCCGAAAAAATTGTCCGCCGTCATGCGCTGAATTCGGCGCATGCGAAGTTACGCCAGACGTGCGCTGAAATTTTCGGCGCAATACCGCCACTACGCCGGACATATTCGGCATAACGTGTATTTCTTCCAGTCTGGTTTGTAGGGTGGGTTGTAGGTTCGTAGCTTTGTAGGTTGTAGGTTTGTAGGTTGTAGGTAAGGTGAGGTCAGGTCAGGTTAGGTTTGTTTTGGTCTATATATCTCTGTCACGGGTCACCCCAATCTAGCATCTTCCTGGGACGCCAGGCTTGCTAAAATGGTAATACCCAATTTTCTAGGGTGATACATGGACAATATGGTGTGGTTTTTCAATATTAAGCCTAAGGTGTAAAAGAGGGATTTGACCAAATTTGTCCTGCAATCCATCACAATTCAACTTTCGATTCACATCATAACCAAACGCCACCACCATATGGGTGAATAAACTACAGGTCACAAATTGTCATGCTTCATCCACAGCGAAACAATGTACTTACGAGAGATTTGTCGCTTTTGTTTTGGCCACAAAAACGCAGCAAAATTGTTATCAAAACAAACCTAACCTACCAACCCGACCACTACAGACTAAACCACGCGACACACTTGGCGACACATCACATCTCACATATCATATCACTCCGCGACACAACATACAAAACACAAAGATCAACCGCGAAGAATGACGAGCAATTGATTGAAAATTAGCAGGATAAAAAATGACGTCTCAGATTTTTACTTTTCGGCATCTCATATTTCAATTTTCTTCATTGGTTTGCCACCTGCTTTTCTTTTCTGAAATACCATTCCTATTCACGATCATATTGAATCATTATGTACATAAAAAAGCTTAAACAATATATTTCGATCAAACTTTTGTAAGTTTTAATTGGATTTCGATCATGACGACATAGAACCTTATTTGTAAGAACATCGCAAGATGATATCTTCGAACAGCAGCCCGGAGTTGTAGACGTTTCGTGGCGCACAATATCGAAGCAAGCCGCATGCAACGAAGTATTTATTTTATGATATTTTGTTATGTTTGATGTTAAACCTCAGTATGAAGTCGCTGGAATGTTGTTTTGTTATTCAGCTAAACCCCAATTCCAACTAATTCAAATTTGTATTCCTCAGAGTGCTCTCTTGAAGGCGCAGTTATTGGTTACCTACAATGACTGCCAATCTGAATCATTGGCCAATCTGCTGTGTGGGAAACTTTTCCCCTCCAACGCGGCCAGGCCGTGGCTGCCGCCGGACCCGGCGGACCGCTACGCGACCGCATCGTCACCCCACCAGCTGATGGGCGTAGAACCATCCCTTCCGCCCCGCATTACCGGGGGCCGGGGGCGGAATGCGGCAGCGGCCGCGCTGGGCCGCGCAAACATCCGCAGGGGAGGACGCGGCGCGGCGAAACCACGGAGCGGCGCAGCAGCGCGACCAGCGGAGAGTCCATGAGCCCCAGGTGCCTCCGCCGGCGCGGGTGGACCCAGCCGGGCCACCTGGCACCGCCCCTGCGAGCTCATCTTCTTCATTACCTGTTACGATCACCTGGCCGGCCGACTCCCACCGTTCGGCGCCGCCTGTCACTTGGAGGGGAACAACAACAACCCCTCTGGGCAGCAATCAGGGCAGGCCGGCGGCCGGACGGACCGTTACTAGGTCGAGTCGGCGGCACCATCTACTTCCTCGTTCTGCTCTGCACTGTTCTGCTCTGTCCTGTTCTGCCCTGCCATGTTCTGTGCGCTCTGTCCTGCGGGACTAGCCGTGCGTGCCGCGCCCGAGGCAAATGCCAACCGCCGGAGGCGCGGTATATAAGCTGAGTCCCGCAGTGATCCCTCTCTCTCTTCGCTCTCCACTCGGGAGCTACGTTGGAGTTTTGGAGTGCGACGTGTGCGTCCAACACACCCAACCAATCATGTAAGTAGATGGGTGCGGCCCTTATTGGGGCAGTGTATATATAGCCATGGTCAGTGTAATCATGTGTGCTTATGTAAATAATTACTTTGAAAACTTGCACAGTCTGTTGTGGGACAAATGGTGGGGGAGAGAATGAACGGCGAACTGAACGGAACGGCACGGAACTCGGCAAACGTAACATAGAGCGGCTCGGAAGCTCAAATAAACGCTACCTTTTAAACGTCATGGTTAACTTCGGCACGCCACGCTACCAATAGTAATCCCAACCGTAGCAATGATAGAAATGAGGAACGTAACAACTTATAGAGAGAAAAAATAGTTTCACAGTGGTGGCAGCGGTGGGATTTCTAAAAACTGACTTGTTTTATTTTAAGCACGCCTAAGGCGAGCTAATTAATCTATTGTCGGTTCCGCTCCAAATAGGGCGGCGAACCCAACGTTTTGTTTTTGTTGGTTTTTTATTGCAATATATTTCTTATATTATGATCTTGTTATGCCTTTAATATTAAATGTAAGTCATGTATGTAGGTATCGGGCCGTTCATGTTCGCAGTGGTTCATCTCCCCCAACCTGTCCCGGCCAGTGGGCCAGGCGGGCGGCTCGGCCCTCGCGGTCAGTCACCGCGGGGTGCCAGCGCCGGCTCGCGGCGGTCCCGCGGCAATTAGGCCCTGCCCTCCGCTCTGTCTGATTGGTGTAGGGACGGAGGATGGGCGTGGCCAAATTGAGTGTGGGGCTGAGGGGTGCCTCTGAGGACAGTGTATGTCCAGGTGTTCTTCCGCGTCATCACTGAGGTTTCTCGGGTCCATTCGTGCTTTGTGCTGAAAGCAACGAGTTTTGAGGTGAGCGATGGAATTCGCACTTATCGAAGTCGCGATTGCCCTACCAGTGACCCGGGACGATTGTTTATGAGGGACCGGCTGCCGTCTCATATTGCAAAGTGTACACGACCCAAAAGCCCATCAACTGAGCGGTAGGCCAAGCGCGGCTTCGGGCCAAACGTTGTGTGGGGTGAAGCGCTGCTCCACGCCTGATTGGGACTGCAGCCCATCAGAGCGAAGTGGGCATAAACAATCGTCTTGTGTGAGTCAATACCCGACTAGAGATGGGTTAGTTCGGGGGTAGAGGCCGTGTGTCCATAACGCTACTCGTTTCTTATTCAGGGCTTTCAGCACAATGACCGAACCGGAAACCCGGAAACTGCGAACGGGAAACGCTGACCATGGGAAAGCATAGATTGACAGTTTCTTCCAGAGCATTACCGGACCACGCGTTGGTCAGGATGCGAGACCACTGCTGGAGACGCCAGCAGCGGAATGAGAACGGGCTGGAGGCGGTGGAGGAGCCGCAGCTCCGGGAGGACTATTCGTCCTCCTCGGACGCAGAGTCACAGGTGGTAGTGACCGAACTGACTCCACAGGTCCCCCAAGAGAGGAGGCGGCGGCAGCCCACGAGGTCTCAACGGATAGGAGACCCCCTGACCGTTATAGTCCCTGAAGACCTATATGGCCTTGCCCTGAGGAAACTGAGTTGGGAGTAAAGTAAGGATAGCATTAGCAATCAGTTTGCGCCCCAGTACGATGGTACATGGCTTCAAGTGTATAAATGTGTTTATAAGGCGAACAGACATTCCAGTGGATATTGATTCCAGTGCCTTTAGCACGGCTATCGTTAGCGGAGAAACAAGTACGCAGGTAGGTAACAGACTGTAGGGCTCGCAAGTCGCAAGTGTCTAAAACGTTCTTGATGGTTTAATATTGCTTACTGCCAAACATGCAAGCGTTGCAACATCGGCCAATCAAGTGGTCAGATGCAAGGGTACAGTGCATTAGCTGCTAAAGTTACCGTAACAGAAATGTGATTAAATGTGTTGAATCATTTTGCCTAGAGGACTATGATGTTGTTAATGAATGTAAAGGACGTGGTGGCCTATTTGCTCCTAACCTTGTCCAAGGTAGGTACAGCACATTTATTTTACCAAATACCGTCTGCATACCTATGCCTTCCGGCGAAGTCAATGTCTTTTTTCAGTCAGTCTAAATGGAGTGCCATGAATAAGAGTGAGCGCTGCCAGAAGGCCAATAATTGCATCCGAACGCTGAACTGCCGAGACTAACTAGAACGCCAGGTAACGGTCATAAAAGTACAGCTCTATCGAAACAAGCATATTTGAACAACTAGATCAATTCCGCGGCAATGTCCATCCCTGGCCGTTTAAAAATGACGAGATTTGAGCAACGATGTTCTGAGCAAGCTCAGCCTCCCGCGATATCATGACTCACAGCTGTCCGGTGTATGGAGCGTCGGCTCTAGTTGCAATACCTACTTGCAGTGGCAGATAGCCAAGCGCCAAAGGGTTGCAAAGACAGCCCAGGCAGCACAAAGTGCACACCTGCTGCTCGCTCTTTGGGACCCTACAGCAGTGAAACCCATCGGCGTCCACAGCGGTGGTCTCCGTCTTCAACATGGGTCGACTCCATTGCAGATAGGAGGAGTTCGCGTCAGAGTGAGCTATCACTGTCTGGAAGGTCACCATTAGCGGGCTAAAAGGGTCACAAAGTCATGGCAAACTGTCCAAGCACAATGGTACTGGCACCTGCACACCGGCAGTCTTGTGTAGTCCAACAAATGGGACGGTCAACTACGCTCGGGACAGAGATGCTCGGCTGTCACTAAAATGGCATCAGTGATGGGACGTCACGGAGTCGCCCAAAAATTACATTAATATACATATAAGTTGTACAATGCTTAAGGACTAGAATCCAGTGAAACGTTTGTTAACGTGGCAAGGCAAGAAGCCGATACTTTGTGTTTAATTGTCCGAGTTTGGGATAAGGATGCGAATATACGGCAGAGCTGAGAGCGCTACTCGCACATTCAAAGGCACAAGAAGCCAATACCCAAAATTAAGCAAAGTCATAACCAGTTATTACTGAGGCTCGACTGATTGACGCCATTCCGCTCCTCTCACGACCAAGTTTAAATCCTAGTTTCCACTTTGGTTCCAAATGGCCATTTGTTTTGTAAATGTAAAATGACGAGGACGTAACGCATGTCATGCAGTACCAAAGCGACAGCAACGCAGTAACGCAGTAAGAAATACTAAACCATAATTAAATGACTAGTGGAAGCAGTACCCGGGGCAGAGCTAAACTGAGTTTTGGATCTCCCAATTCAGTTGAAATATCAACATGTCCAGGATTTGACAGGTGCTCTATGACCCACAGATCTACCCGGAGTTCGGAATCGCTCTGTCATCTATATTCATCGGAGGGATGTGGGAAACTTTTCCCCTCCAACGCGGCCAGGCCGTGGCTGCCGCCGGACCCGGCGGACCGCTACGCGACCGCATCGTCACCCCACCAGCTGATGGGCGTAGAACCATCCCTTCCGCCCCGCATTACCGGGGGCCGGGGGCGGAATGCGGCAGCGGCCGCGCTGGGCCGCGCAAACATCCGCAGGGGAGGACGCGGCGCGGCGAAACCACGGAGCGGCGCAGCAGCGCGACCAGCGGAGAGTCCATGAGCCCCAGGTGCCTCCGCCGGCGCGGGTGGACCCAGCCGGGCCACCTGGCACCGCCCCTGCGAGCTCATCTTCTTCATTACCTGTTACGATCACCTGGCCGGCCGACTCCCACCGTTCGGCGCCGCCTGTCACTTGGAGGGGAACAACAACAACCCCTCTGGGCAGCAATCAGGGCAGGCCGGCGGCCGGACGGACCGTTACTAGGTCGAGTCGGCGGCACCATCTACTTCCTCGTTCTGCTCTGCACTGTTCTGCTCTGTCCTGTTCTGCCCTGCCATGTTCTGTGCGCTCTGTCCTGCGGGACTAGCCGTGCGTGCCGCGCCCGAGGCAAATGCCAACCGCCGGAGGCGCGGTATATAAGCTGAGTCCCGCAGTGATCCCTCTCTCTCTTCGCTCTCCACTCGGGAGCTACGTTGGAGTTTTGGAGTGCGACGTGTGCGTCCAACACACCCAACCAATCATGTAAGTAGATGGGTGCGGCCCTTATTGGGGCAGTGTATATATAGCCATGGTCAGTGTAATCATGTGTGCTTATGTAAATAATTACTTTGAAAACTTGCACAGTCTGTTGTGGGACAAATGGTGGGGGAGAGAATGAACGGCGAACTGAACGGAACGGCACGGAACTCGGCAAACGTAACATAGAGCGGCTCGGAAGCTCAAATAAACGCTACCTTTTAAACGTCATGGTTAACTTCGGCACGCCACGCTACCAATAGTAATCCCAACCGTAGCAATGATAGAAATGAGGAACGTAACAACTTATAGAGAGAAAAAATAGTTTCACAGCTGCTTATAATCCAGTTTTAGGCCGGTAGTTGGTTTTGAAGTAGTAGGTAGAAAAATTAAATTTCTAACTAGTAGTCCTGCTTAGAATCTAAGCTTAGACAGTTATCTGTGTGACACTTTTTATAAATTTAGTCTGAACCTTTTGTTTGGAAGGATTCACAAGCACAGAGCCCCGCCCCCCGCTTAGCGAAGCTTGTTGCGTTGACCCTGCCCTCTACCCTCTGATCGTGCAATTCCAGTTCTATGGCAGAATTTAGAGCCCAAAGTTTAACATGCACACATAGCCATGCACGGCCCTGTGCATCACATTGAGTGTGCTGTGCCTATGACAGTTCGGCTCACCATGGAACGTTTCCAGACTTGAGACTTTATATGTGAGGCTAAGACTGTATAAGCCCATAAAGCTTATGAAGCTTACACTGAGTGATGAGGCCTCGACAGAATTGAGGAAGTGCAATCTGGCTGTCCAATTTTATTGGAATTCAGCCATTTGTTCCTGCACCACTAATCACTTATGAATAGAAGCCACTAGGTAGAGCTATCATAAAGACAACATTAAACATTTCACACCACAATGAATCACAAGAACCACTTAAATAACTTTTGTTTATTGTACATTTTTAATGGGGTAACCACCTATTTATTAACTCTTCCTTAAAGGATAGAATATAATACCAATACCTAGGCAACTTTTGAGATGGTAATAGAGTAGGTATGTTGCTAGTCTGTTTCCACCTTGTAGGTGCCACAAAATACTCTTCTCCTCTGGGAACAGTTAGAGGCCAGTTGACCTTTGGGGCTTGTTTCAACATATAAATAGTTAATAGTTTCAACCAAGCTCCCTTGTCTGCCTTCTGTTCACTCCTTGATCTGCATTCTGCATATTACACCTTATGGAGGGCCAGATATTTCCAATGCAGGTTCAGTCAAAATCAACCAATCCTGCAAGTGCAACAATTAGAATAGGTACATACCTTTCCAGCACTGATTGGATGGTTCTATGTACCACTATTGAATAATTGCATGTAATACCTAACAGGTGAAAAGTGATGTCAAATAGCATTGGAGAGAGGGAGCGCGATCTGGTGTCTGCCAATCTGTCCACTGGATTTGACCCAGATCGCAGCAATCGGGAACGACGCAAACTGAAAAGGAAAATCTACTCTAATGGGTGAGGATTTATCTTTCTTATTGGTTCCCCAAGCATTTATTACCAGAAACCATCTTGCTCTCATTTTGGTCATAGTACCTCCATGAGGATTGAGGAACCATAACTATTTGATTATTTGGGTTCTCATAGTTGTGCTGATAGATCTTAAATGCAGTGTCCACTTCTACAATCTCTGGCTTGTCTGTTAACAAAAATGAATATTACTTAACCCCACATGTTTTCCAGACACCTACCCGGGCGTGTCCTTCGCCAGTGGTTCCCCGACACTGACGCGCATGGGTTCCGGACAAAAAGTCAAATGATAAAAGGTAAAAGGATGATTAGTCAACAGACATTACGTCAAAAGCAAGAAGTCAAAAGTCTTAAAAGTCAACAGGTAAAAGGTCAACAAAGAGAAAAGTCAAAAGGCAAAAAGTTAAAAAGGATAAAACGTCAAAAGATAAAAAGTGAAATTGCCAAAAAGTCAATGAACAAAAAGTCAACTAGCATAGAAGTCAAAAGACAAAAAGTCAAATGGACATAAGGTCAAAAGACAAAAAGTAAAAACGGCAAAAAGTCAAATTGCCAAAAAGTAAAATGGACAAAAGTCGAAAGACAAAAAGTGAACAGGACATAAAGTCAAAATCCAAAAAACCAAAAGGACAGAAAGTCAAAAGGACAAAAAGTCAAAAAGACATATAGTCAAAGTCCAAGAAGTCAAAAGGACAAAAAAATCAAAGGGACAAAAAGTCAAAAGGACAAAAAGTAAAGAGGACAAAGGTCAAAAGACGAAAGGTCAACAGGACATAAAGTCAAATTACGAAAAATCCAAAGGAAAAAAGCCAAAATCCAAAAACTCAAAAGGACAAGTCAAAGAGACAAAGTCAATGACACCTGGATCATCAGTCATTACATACATGAGATAACATTTACAAACAGCTGTACACAATTAAGCAGGATGCTGCACAATATAACCTGCATCATTGGACATTGAAGCGAGACTGCCTCCATTGCGCGACTGATGGGGATTCCCATGGCCCGCAACCGCGACTCAGCTGATCACACGGGTCACGGGCATGCTTGGCTGAAATCTGACACTTACGTGCTAGGTGGGAACTCGCTCGCATCGTAAGGTTGTCATGAGGCAGCGTTATATGATCCTTCGAGACAACTGGCTGTCCCAGGCGCAGTTTACTGGAATTATTTCAACAAATATAGTAACCCGGAATATTATCGATACGAAAGGTTCGCTTGTTCAAATTTCCTATATTGTGTAGGGAGACGTTTCTTATCAATTGATTCCGTCACGGGTTCTATTAGCGATTTCACACTTTTATTATAGTTCAAGCGTATTGTATGGTACTATTGGTAGTTGGTACAATAGTAAAGCGCGTCGTTTCTTTTAGATAGGTGGAAGTTGGAACGAGAGGCAATTGTGTGATTGTCGGACTGTCCTGCCTTGAAAGGAACGCTCATATCAGCATCAACAGACAACAACCTGTTAATATTCACGGACTGCATACAATTAAGGTGAACAATTTTCATCGAAAGGTACGGACTGCATACAATTAAGGTGACCAATTTTCATCGAAATGTATAGGTCAATTAAGTTATCGAGATGCGATTGCTAAAAACACAATTTTTAGGACCTCGGAGCTGTGACGTCCAAAGAGAGGTGACAAGTATAGCGCATTGTGGCCACCAGTTACTGTCCCTCTCCTTCATCTTCGCCTCCGCCCTACGTCTCCTTATCGGAACTGCCCCCCCCCCCGCCACCAGCAGGCACAGTACGCCAACTTTATATAGATAAGTTCACATTCCCAATATACTTTTTAAAGCAAAGTAAAAATAGGTAGGAGCGTTCTTATCGGTAGTGTCGGGGCACATACGGGGACGCGCCGAGAGTATAGGGCCTTGGCGCCGAGACGCGCTGACCTATCCGTGCTTCTATCCTCAGGATACTGAATTCCTTCTCCTCCACGCCGCAACCCCCCTCCGGGCTGGACAGGCAACTTTATCTCATGCGGGCTGCTCCCTTGGAGCGGCACCGCTGCTCCTGAGGGAGCGCACCCCGTAGCCGGGTGCAGTGAGTGCCTTGGGGCTGGATGGCCTGTCCTCTGGACGGGCTCAGCCCCGGCGACTCACTAGGGTGCCTGCCCAGACCAATGTCTCCCCCTAATTCCTATCATCCTTCCGGCTCTGCAATGGTCTTGACGACCGAAAGGGCCTAACCCAACAAAAAAAAAAAAAAAAAACGAGACGCGCTATCACTATGCGGTGCAGCCGGCGCGGCGCCCAGCGGGCGGCGGCCGGGGATCAGGTGGCACGGCGCGGGTCAGTCGCCGACCGGAGACGCGGGCTGTGGCGTACTTGTACCGACTTAGTTATCGACTGCTGTTGAAGACTACTTTTTGCTGTTGACTACATTTTGCGCATCAACTTTTCGCGCACCTATTAACTATTTGCTTGCTGACTTTTTGTGTGTTGACTTTTAGCGTATTGACTTTTAAGCATGTTGACTTTTAGCGTGTTGACTTTTAGCATGTTGACCTTTCGCGTGTTGACTTTTAGCGTGTTGACTTTTAGACGTGTTGACTTTTAGCGTCTTGACTTTTTGCGTGTTGACTTTTTGCGCGTTGACATTTTGCGTGTTGACTTTATGCGTGTTGACTTTTAGCGTGTTGACTTTTAGCGCGTTGAATTTTTGACATGTCGGCTTTTTGTCTCTTTGACATTATGTCTTTTGACTTCTTGCGTGTTGACTTTTAGCTTGTTGACTTCTGGCGTGTTGACTTTTTGGCAGGTTGACTTTTTGTTCATTTGACATTTTGTCCTTTGACTTCTTGCGATGTTGACTTTCTGTCTGTTGACTTAATGTCCTTTGACTTTTTATCCGTTTACTTTTAACGTTTTGACTTTTCATCCGGGAATCGACGCGCATTGCCTTTCGCCAGCCGCAAGCGGACGCTGTATGACGAGCGCGGCTACCTGGTGAAGAGTGACCAGAACGTGTGCGACTGCCTGCAGCCCGACTGTCCGGGCTGCCACTTCCCCTGCCCCAAGTGCGGCTCGCCCATGTGTGGACACGAGTGCAGGTCAGTTGGGAGCGCCGCATCGGAGGCGTGGCGGGATATTTTACGTTCTCACGTGATGTGGGCTTTGTGTACAACGCAGGATTTATTCGTTTTTGAACGTATTTAATCGTCATCGTCTTTAGACGGCGGTGAACTTCGAATGCTCAAGCGTTGGTGCGTTTCGATGTTTTACGTCCTAATGAGGTGCGTTTCGATGTTTTACGTCCGTATCTGTTTTTGCAGAGTAAACCGCAAGTGGATGTACGACCAGGTCGAAATTGAGGGCACCGACAAAGTTCTTCGCAATCGTTTCCGGGATTGAACCAGCTCGAAAGCCATCGATCGGTTCAGTCACCACCGTCCGCAGTTGATCTCCAACCCGCACCAGTGCGCGTCTGCTCAGGCAGTGAGAATCTGATCAGGCAGACGCTGGGTAAACTTGTGTAAATTCGCAGTGTCAGGTTGTGACACCGTAACATACAGACGGTCGTATCTGAGGATTCGATCGTCAGTCCAGTGCTGTGCCATAGACTGCTCAGCGTTCTGAGGTACCGAGCCGGACAGCTGCGGGCGGCCGGCGCCCGGCTCAGAGATGGCCTCCGGGGGCGGCAGTGTGCCGACCGTGCTGCTCGGTCTGGAGGACGCTCCGCTAAGCCCGGCCGAGGAGAGCCGCTCCGACCTGACCGTCAGTCGGCTGGGTGGCCGGCCCGACTGGCCGGCGGACCTCGCTCCGCCGCCGCCCCAGCCCGCCTGTGACCGCTGCGGCCGGCCGCAGCCGCTGGTGACGCAGATCTACGCCCCGATCGGCGCCTCCGCCTACCACCGCACGCTGTACCTGTTCGCCTGCGTCAGCCCCGAGTGCGCGAACGAGAGCGGTGCCTGGCGCTGCCTGCGCGCGCAGCAGCGGGCGGCGGCGGAACGCAGTGAGCCGGAGTCGACGGCGCGTGCCTCGCAACCCGCCACCGCCGCCGCCGCCGCCGACTGGCTGGACTCGGCGGACGACTGGGGAGACGGTGACGGTGGGTGGGGAGATGACGACGGAGAGGTGGACAATAGCAGCGCGGGAGGAATTGATAACGTCCGGAGTAATACGGGAACGGGAGGCGGCGAGGATAACCTGCAGACTCTGACGCCTAGTCTCCAGAAGCTGGCGTTGGATGTGGACAACGCGAACCTGGCGGCTTCTGGTGACCCGCCGGCCGCGTCTGCTGAGGTGGAGCCCGCCTCTGAGGAGGGTGTCAGCCCGGAGCCAGTGGCGCCGCCCACCGGTGACCTGCGCGCGCTGCTGGCGGCCCGGCCGGCGCCGCCCGCCGGCACAGTCACCTTCCGACCGACCTATCTGAGCGTCATCGAGGAGCCGGCGCCGCGCGCGGCCGCCTCGCACCACGAGCTCGACCTGCTGCGCCAGTACCAGGCGCGCGAGGGCGTCAACATGGCGCAGCTGTCTGCTGGCGGCGGCGGCGGGGGCGGGGGGACGGCCGCCGCCGCCGCCGAGGTGTACGAGCGAGCCGCGCCCGCGCACGGCGACCGGCTGCTCTACAAGCTGATCCAGCGTCTGGAGCTGTGTCCGGCGCAGGTGCTGCGCTACGGCCGGGACGGCGGCGCGCCTCTGCCGCTGGCGCCGCTGCCCGCCGGCTGGGCGCCCGTCTGCGCCCACTGCGGCGGCCCGGCCGTGTTCGAGCTGCAGCTGCTGCCCACACTGGTCTCGCGGCTGCGCGCCGCCGACTCACAGGGAGCCGAGCGCACCGGGCTGCTAGAGTTCGGCACGGCCATCGTCTACACGTGTCGCGACAGCTGCTGGCGCGCCGGCGACCGGCCGCGCACCGAGACCGTGCTCGTGCAGGCCGAGATGCAGTGAGGAGCGGCTCAGAGACCGGCGGTGGTACAGGGATGGGCGAGTGTTTACTCTGACTCGCGGTGGCGCCCAGACGCAGGGACACGCTTCTGCCAGGCACCGCCCCCAGCGCTTTCATACGCTTGCCACTGTTCCCACATCCAAACGTGTACCGCAATGCAGCTTCCATTGCTGTTCACGGCTTAGTCAGCAGTCAATAAACTGTTATGATCATAAAACCCGCACCTGTATTCGTATCATAACAATGAATGCCACACGTCATAATATACTGTATAATAATTAATTACTTGTAATCTGGCGCAAGCACTTGGTGCACGTAACAACACACGGGCAGTCGTTCGCTGCCGTTCAGGCCGCCGCACGGTGACAGCTCTAGCAGAACGGCTGCTGTGGAAAGGCTGGACGACTGAAACCCACAGCTTAGAACCAACTGCCGCTGAAGTTAGCCAGGAATGATGGACTCGGCTTGATCGCGTCCGCCTTCTTCGGGGACTGCTGAGAAGCCATCTGTAAATACACGCGTTCAGTTATCGGATTGCCTAAACATTTTACTAGCCTTTGAAGAAGAAACACTTGTGTGCAATCAGCCCCCCATTACAGTGATAATTATCATACTAATTGATAACTGCTCAAAGACATCGCTTACCCAAATAAAAATCACCATGACCACCAAAGGCGGGCGGCAACCGATATTCAAGGCACCCCGGTCCTCACTATCTCCCTCCCCAGAAGCGGTACCTTATCGAGTCGGGCCGGACAGGAGGGCAGCGGGCGGGGCGGCCGCTCGAGCGGCGCCGAGTCGGGCACCGCCAGCAGACTGAAGCGGACCGGTCGGTCGGCCAGCGCCAGCAGGCTGTGCGGCTCCGGCTGGCCGGAGGCGGCCGGCGCGGGTCCGGCGGGCCGGGCCGGGCCGCGGTCCACGCTCAGCGCGCCCAGCACCGACTGCCGGCGGCGAGAGCGGGCTCAATACTCGCGAACAGCCTCGATACACTCCATCGACACACGGCTCACAGTGTCTGTCCTGACCGGGATCGGGCGGCCGTCGGTACCTACCTGAGACTGCTGCGTGTACTGCCTCAGGTACTTGACGGCGTGCGGCCAGCACACGTTCAGGTCGAACGGATCAATGTGCTCCTCAATCGCCTCGCACGTGCTGCCGATCTTCTTCGTCAGCTCCTGGTGACGGGAGATAGATGCATCAATGATAATTGTTACACTCATGAGAAGCTAATTCATTCAACCCTACCTGTCTGCAGCTGTTAGACTGTAGCAATAAATTTACTTATTATTCGGACTCCTTTCGTTGAGCGACATCTCGCATTTCTTGAAAACCGCGCGGTAAAAAATACAAATTCGGTGCGTTAACCACACACACGTGTCACACCCGTCATCCTATAATCGAAACCCACCTGATCTCTCGCCGAGGCCAGCGTCTTCAGGAAGTGAACGTCGACCAGCGCCTGTAGCGCGTGGTGCTGAGAGGGCGGCGTGACGTCAGAGGCCGCCAGGTGGCGGCAGTAGACGTCCACCAGCCGGCGGACGGAGCACTGCACCAGCTGGCCCTGAACCTCCCTGGGGAAGGAAGGGGAGGCCGGGTCAGTACGGAGACAGAGCGGTGGAAGGAGACGATAGAGGTGGCAATTCGAGAAGCAACCGATGAAATAAGTAAGTAAGTGAGTGGGTGAGAGAGTGGGTGAGAGAGTGGGTGAGAGAGTGGGTGAGAGAGAGAGAGAGCGAGAGCGAAAACGAGAGCGAGAGAGAGAGAGAGAGAGAGAGAGAGAGAGAGAGAGAGAGAGAGAGAGAGAGAGAGAGAGAGAGAGAGAGAGAGAGAGAGAGAGAGAGAGAGAGAGAGAGAGAGAGAGAGAGAGAGAGAGAGAGAGAGAGAGAGAGAGAGAGAGAGGGAGAGGTGGGAGCCGTGCGCGGCCGTACCTGCCCAGCGTCATGGAGCCGAGTCGGTTGACGTCGGTGGCCAGCTGGTAGAGCGCGGAGGAGAGCGAGAGGCGCGGACAGCGTGGCACCCGGATCACCGACTCCACCTGCTCGCCAGAGTCGGCCTCCTCCGTGATCGTCACGGCCGCCCACAGCTGACGGCGGGGTCAGAGGTCAGGTCATCGCCGCCCACAGCTGGCGGGGCAGGTCACAGGCCAAAGGATCAGGTCACCACTGCTCACAGCTGCCAGGAAGGTTAGGTGTCAGAGGTCAGGTTACCTTCAATCAACGAGAAGAGAGAAACTTGTATTGGGATAGTCTGTCCTTAGATCGCGATGATCGTTTAGGATTAGTGGAGACAACAAGCAGCACCTTTCTGTAAGACAGTTCGTGCCAGCCGGACCTTACTTCTCACATCCTCTATAGCGTAATTCACCATTTGCCATCTTACCAATCGCCCGTGAGACCACGCCCGCGCTCACCGCAAAGTCGCTGAGCTGCGCGTCGGTGGCCGTTTTCAGGGCGTCGCTGAGCTGCTGATCCAGCTGAGCGGCGCGTGCCTCACACCAGCGCCTCATCAGCGCGGGACGGACCCTCAGCAGCTGCTGGGCCAGCTCCTCCCAGAGGGCGCGACCGGCCCCGGACGGCTGCGGAGGGGGCGGACATAGTAACTATACTGGAGCACGACACAAACGCCAAGTGGCAGGAACGATGAGCACTGGAGACACATCACCGCGAAACGAATATACCAGAACAATGTATAGAAACCAATAATTAGCACTCAGTTAGCTACTAAGTGTTAGTTGATATAAAAAAGCTGATGGGCTTAAAATATATGATTGTGAAATACGATAGAAGCATCGTCAATGAGGCAGACCTCAGGCATGAGTCAACTACGCGGCCCTAAGAGCAGCTCACAAGCTGACCCCAACCCCACCACCTCGCACCTGTTTGCCGCGCGCGGTGGCGTCCAGGCAGAGCGGCAGGTGGGGGCACAGGTCAGTGACACCGCGGGGCACGCGGGCCAGCAGTACGGCCGCCGACTGCTGCTCCGGGGACTCGGCGAGTCGCTCCAGCTCCGTCAGCAGGCTGCGGGAACCGAGAGGCGAGTGAGACGTCAGGCCAGAGCCAGCACAGGACTAATTCAACACAATGCATGGTTGATCATAGCGCAACAAATGCAGCTACAAGAAAAACAGCTGCTAATACACCTTTGAGAGCGGTAAATAACCTAGTTGGCCTCACTCTCTTGGCCTCACTTTCTTGACATCTTTCATTCATTCATTCATTCATTCACTGAGCATTTTTTAGTTTTCATTCATTCATTCATTCATTCATTCATTCATTCATTCATTCATTCATTCATTCATTCATTTTCTTCCCCCCTCACCCGTCCAGCTGAGCGCGCGTCTGCTCCCGCAGTGTCTCGGCCAGTCTGCCGGAGTCCCGCCACGGGTCGAAGGGCGGCGGAGCGGCGGACGGCGCGGCCGCCTCCCCGGGCGCCGGCCGGGCCGACTCGGGCCTCTCCGTGTAGTGGCGCACGTCCGTGAGCAGTGCGTCCAGCCGCGAGTCGAGCGCGGCGCACAGCTCCTGGACGGGACCGCAGTGGCCACGCGCGCGCAGCACCAGACCTGACCGGAGGAACGGGTCAGAGGATGGCTGGCTTGTGATATTTATTCACTTTCGATGATAACACAAAAGCAAATATTCTAAATAGCCATTTGGCTATTTAGCTATTTAGAATGGCTATTTAGAATATTTGCTTTTGTGTTATCATCGAAAGTGAATAAATATCACAATGTCTGACACGATACGATGGCTGGCTTCATAGAAAGGCCGACTGAGCAAGGAGACTGAGACTGGGTGGTGTCGAATCAGGACTGGGGTAGGCTGTTGGGGCATTTAGCGGTGGCGTGATGTAAAACACTGACTTTGGGACCAAAGAATACCATCCAACATGCGTGGCCTTTCATAATCCGTATTATAAGAAAAGCTATCAAATACGTTTCAAAATAACGGTCATGCTAGGAATCAAAGAAAAAATCATCCAGGCCCTGTAATATCTCGCCCGCTCACCTGGCAGCGACTGCTGGTTCCTGTGTCGGTAGTTCATCCAGCCGCTCACAGATGGCGCCTCGTTAACGTCACTCCACCGGTAGTCGACAATGTCCACCGCGGACTTCAGCCTGCGGACATTACATTCGTGTCCTAGTAACCTACAGGGTGTCCCAGAATTACCCGGACATTTATTTTCGGGCTGAAAGTACGACTGCGCTCGCTTCCAATGATATCCAAGCATCATACTTTTATAAGATATCCCTTAGCTATCGAGATTGGGGACTGTGTGCTTTTGGTGGCCGGTAACGACTCGAATCAATTATTATCCAGAGTCAAGTAAGAGTAGTCCTTTTCCGTTTTCAGCTTAAGCCACTAATAGGCAACCATGGTGAATCAACTCCCATTCTCAACTTTGTAAACGGACTTTCGGCATGGTTTTTGCTGGAGAGCTTCAGCAGCTCATCTGCAAGCAGTTAGGATTGAGCAAAGCGCAATTATATCAGTTAACGAAGCCAGAGAGAGCAAGAGATTAACCTGATTGACAAGCTTGGGTTCGGCCAAAAAGGGCCATGCACCAGTTGTCAAACAAGTGGCTGCTTGTCATAGACAACAAACGTCACCGATCTAGCTAAAAACTAGCTAAACAATAGATCAGGATTATCTACACAACATCCGTCTACTTTGCACCACTATCTTCGACAAAATTTTGGAATTTGGGGTCCTTCGCCAGACAAATATGCGAAAACTACGGGAAAAGCAGCGTAAATCACTACAATTCATCCCAAAAACATAACATATACAACAAAACAGTATATTGAGGCACACTTTGTGGTCTAACGAAGTTATTATGTCATTTGAACCGCCCGAAAAAGGCTTGTGTGAACGTCAGATGGCTACAACGCCCCAACAGCAGAGACGGCCAGGCACCCGTCGAAAATCAAATTGTACGACATTTTGAGCCACCGTGCACTCATTGGGCTTGATATGATGGCCCAAAGACAACCGTTAGCACAGGGTACTACTGCGGTAATATTCTACCAGTGCGAAAACTGGATGCCATGAACCAAATGGCCATGAACGGGTTTGTTTTGGAAACCAAATCTGTTGGAAGCCAAAGGTTGCGCAATGTTCAGACATGGAGCTTCTCCACTCCAGATGTAAAAAACGCAGCAAAAGTGGCGTAGGCAGAAATTTTTGTTTTGGGGGATAATACCTTATGGCCTGGGAACACTTTGATGTCAAGTTTATCTTATATGATCGTATTATCCTCCGGCAAGAGGTCAAAGAAAACAGGCCTACACCCAGTTTCGGGAGACCCGTAAAACAACTGAGACCAGCAATGGCTGGCATTTTCCATCATTGTCGGCTGATCTTGTAACAAGCGTATCTATTGCATGTGCTATTTCACAGCCACCCTAGTTGACTATATAGGACGGTAAAAAGAAAAAAGCGCAATCATGTTTGCCTTATTTTATACGCTAATTAACAATGTCCGGGTAATTATGGGACACCCTGTAGTTTAATTACCGTCAACCTGGTTCTACTGCTCATCTTATTTCGTTACAGGTCAAATTAACACAATTAGGAGCTGAAACCTAATGCCTCGCATACGAAGAACAATGGCATGCTGCCATAAATCTCCGATTTGTCACCAAATCACCCACCTGTCGCCGGCTTTGACCGTTTGCGCCAGTGATTCTGTGACGGCCGAGAAGGCCGAGCTCAGACCGGCCTTGATGTGCTGCTCCGCCCGGACCAGGATAGCCTCCCGCGGAAACAGCTCCCAGATACTGACACAGAGTGGAGGTATGTTATATTTTTCAACTGAGCAGCAAGTGTGCCCTATCGCTTCCTTCCCAGCTGTTCTTTTATAGTTATTAGGCCTACCTGTTAGGTCCCACAGTCACATATCTACTTTATCGCTAGCATTTCAGTATCAAACAGCTCTTGATATCACCGTAAGCTAACCACCAATGCGTTCCATGTCCCGCCCTTCCGTCGCTGTTCACGTTACCTGAGCTCGGCGCCGGTCAGTGTTCGGCAGATATCCCCCCAGTGCTGGCGGTGAGGGTCCTCGGAGAGCACAGAGTACACGCCGTCCCGCACAGACGCCAGGCCCTTCACCGACGGAACGCCCTCTGTAAGCAGACAGCCGGGTACACTCTGAGCTCTGCATCTAACGCTGAGTGGCTGTACGTGACACGCAAAACGGCAGCTTGGTATCAGAAAGTAAGGTAGCGACTAGCGAGCATCATTCGACCTAAGAGCCGACGCCAACTGTACATTTATAGTGGGGTTGAGTATCACTTCACAAATGGCTCGAGATTTTGAGCGAATCCCCGAAGCTTTTCCATAGTTCAGGATCTATAAGTGACCATTACATTATTTTATAACACCCGGAAATCGCTCGTTCTGAGCCCGGCTCTCAAATCCCCAAATCTCAAAATTGGATCATCAGCACTCAATAGGCTGACCATGTCTCCGATGCTATAAATCAGATCCTCGTCAGTAAAAGCCCAGCAGCTTATTTCCCACTGAACGTCGACAGACACCGGTTCTAATACTAGACTTACCGAGGAGCTGTGCGACGCGGGGTCTGAGCTGCTCGGCGAGCTGCTGCAGCCACTCGGATACCATCGTCTGCACCTGGTCGGCCGGCAGAGACGACTCGGCCGCCGCTACTGACGGTCTGTAGAGGGGAGGGAGGGGGGTCAGAGATAAACGGAAAGACCGACCCGGCCGACAGCGACGTCTGAAACTTTATTGAGAATTAGCGCGCTTCATTGGATTTGAATAAATTGGAAATCTTAGTTCTTGGTGGAATTTCGTCACACCTTCCGAAACAAGTACGATATTCGTCCATAACGAGCACTCATTGAAACACAAAAACCGGTGACACTGTGGTTTTACTGCGTGTCTCTGCGTATCTCACCTGTATCCCTTGATGTCGGCGGAGAGGTGCCTCATGGCCACCGACCCGCGGTCGTCCACCAGCTCGAACGGCTTCTGGTTGGCAATCACGTCCCTCAGCCGGGTGACAAACTGACCCTCCGGGCAGTCGTTCAGCGGGTTGTGGCCTGGGAGCAGCGAAGCATCAGTTTAACGGGAGCTCAAGTCTCAAACGTAGTTATTGTGAAGACAGGGTAGCCATAGAAAACAGCCCCTAAAACAACAATAGGAACGAAACACAGCAAAACAGTTATGACATAAGCCTCCCAATTACTTCTCCAGACAGGAGTGTAGCTTCCATAATGTCCTTATTTTACCTACCGACAAACAGCGCCATGACGAGCTGCAGCGTGTGCAGCAGCAGCCGGGCGGCCCTGGCCACCTGGCGCTGCACACTGTCCTCTGCCGAGTCGGCGCGTACCGCCGCCAGCACGGCCTCGCGCCGCTCCCGCAGCAGGTGGGAGCAGGCGGCCCGGGCCGAGGAGCCTTCGAGCAGGGCGGCCGCCACCAGACAGGAGCCCACCAGCTGCGGAGAGAGGGAGGGAAGGTCAGAGAGGGCGGGACACACCACACAGGAACCCATCAGTTGATAGGGAGAGAAAAAGGGAAAGAAAGAAAGAAAAAAGGAAATAAACGGCAGAAATCGGAATAAGACGACATTTCAACGTCATACCATCAAACGCAATTACTTTTCCGCGTCATTCTCTCCCGAATATTTTTATTACACAAATTGCATTTCATCCCAGCCCCCATCACTATCCAAACTCACCAGTTCGTCCCAGCTCGTCTCGTCTCGCTCCACCCCGCCCCGTCTCACCCGGTCCGTCCCCTGCCCGCCTGTCCACTGACCCACCTCGAGCTCCCACCGCGAGCTGCTGCAGCGTGGCGACCCTGACGGCGGTCCGTCCCCTGCCCACCCCGCCCGTCCACCGACCCACCTCGAGCTGCTGCAGCGTGGCGTCCCTGACGGCGGTCCGTCCCCTGCCCACCCCGCCCGTCCACCGACCCACCTCGAGCTGCTGCAGCGTGGCGTCCCTGACGGCGGTCCGTCCCCTGCCCACCCCGCCCGTCCACCGACCCACCTCGAGCTGCTGCAGCGTGGCGTCCCTGACGGCGGTCCGTCCCCTGCCCACCCCGCCCGTCCACCGACCCACCTCGAGCTGCTGCAGCGTGGCGTCCCTGACGGCGGTCCGTCCCCTGCCCACCCCGCCCGTCCACCGACCCACCTCGAGCTGCTGCAGCGTGGCGTCCCTGACGGCGGTCCGTCCCCTGCCCACCCCGCCCGTCCACCGACCCACCTCGAGCTGCTGCAGCGTGGCGTCCCTGACGGCGGTCCGTCCCCTGCTCGCCCGTCCACCGACCCACCTCGAGCTGCTGCAGCGTGGCGTCCCTGACGGCGGTCCGTCCCCTGCCCACCCCGCCCGTCCACCGACCCACCTCGAGCTGCTGCAGCGTGGCGTCCCTGACGGCGGTCCGTCCCCTGCTCGCCCGTCCACCGACCCACCTCGAGCTGCTGCAGCGTGGCGTCCCTGACGGCGGTCCGTCCCCTGCCCACCCCGTCCGTCCACCGACCCACCTCGAGCTGCTGCAGCGTGGCGTCCCTGACGGCGGTCCGTCCCCTGCCCACCCCGCCCGTCCACCGACCCACCTCGAGCTGCTGCAGCGTGGCGTCCCTGACGGCGGTCCGTCCCCTGCCCACCCCGCCCGTCCACCGACCCACCTCGAGCTGCTGCAGCGTGGCGTCCCTGACGGCGGTCCGTCCCCTGCCCACCCCGCCCGTCCACCGACCCACCTCGAGCTGCTGCAGCGTGGCGTCCCTGACGGCGGTCCGTCCCCTGCCCACCCCGCCCGTCCACCGACCCACCTCGAGCTGCTGCAGCGTGGCGTCCCTGACGGCGGCGTGGCAGCTGGAGAGGATGGTGGCGCGGAACCGCTGTATGGCCGTCCACTGGCGCACCACCACCGGGAACTGCTTCATCACGCGCTGACCCTCGGCGCCGTGCAGACGCTCCACCTGCAGACCTGGCCGGGACAGACGGGGTCAGCGTACATGATGCTGCGTTTTTATCTCCTTGCACATTACTTTGATGTTATTGCGTGTGCTGTGTAACATGTATGACTCTGTGGCGGTAATAGCCAACCATGTTGGATCCCACATCGATCAGCAATACAATACAATACAATACAATACAATGATACCGGACGGGGTAGTCCAGGAATGAAAACCAGGTCACATGGCTCAGATGGCTCAGAGTCAAGATTACTTTACTACTCGGTCAGTCAGACGGTTTTTCTTTTACCGACGATACTCACTTCGACAAACACCATAAAAGCTGTACTTCACGGAATCGGCCGTATTTCATCAAAATTATGACATCCCTGAATTATAAAACGTTAAATCACAAAGGATGTTTTGACACACACTCAAACCATAAGTGTGCCACCACAACCTGCCGCCGCACCTGTGAAGATGTACTGCGCCAGGAGGTGCAGGAGCGCGGCCGTCAGCGTCTCACGCCGCTCCACGCGCAGCCACAGCGTCTCCGGCATGTCCATCAGCAGTTTGACGCGGGCGCCGATGTCATACAGGCGCCGCTTGCGGTCCTGCCTGTTGGGGGATTGGGATGGGTCAGCAGATGGAGTGGGAGGGGGTTGGGGATGACAGCGAGGTGGAGATGGAAGAGACTGAGAGATAGTAACAAAGGAGGGCATGGAGATGGGAATGGAAGGAAACAAATATCTGGATGGGGGATGGCAGGGGATGAGGACAGGGGCAGGGATGGCATAGGGCATTGCATGGCAGAGAGATTGGGATGGCAGGTCACAGGGTGACAGGAAAAATCAAAGGGTAATAATGGTTGCCTGTGGTAGGTCCTTCAGAACAAGATTGACAGACACCTGTCATAAAAGTTGGTATTTTTCCTGCAGTCATCAGCATGAATGTAACAACAATAAACCAGCTGATGCAGCATCATAAAAATGTTTTCTCTTCATTCTCTTATAACTCAGTTACTTGTCTAAGCTGCAATCCTCCAATTTGTCTTACCTGGCTATGTCCTTATCATCCCTGCCTTTGAATCCAATCAGCCCCTGATGCTGCAAGTGACTGCAGCCAGATTCAATGTGCTTCACATGCTGACAAATCTGTTCTGCACACTTTTGCATGTCCACTATTGAGTCAGCCGCCTCTATCAGGTCTCTGTAACGCTCACTGAAACAGATCAGGGTATAACAATTGATTATAATTGATGCTCATTACCCAGACTGGAAAAAATCCATACTCTTGACACTAGCTGTAGGTACAGTCCACAGCAGAAGTAATGTGTGGTTTCAGTCATGGGTATGTTCTGCTTCTGAAGCCTAGGAACGATTAGCCAGACTGCAACAAGACTTTAAATGTAGCTTACATGTATCTTCACCCTTGCAGCTACAACTTTATCTGTTGACGTCTTCCTTTCATTCAGTCCGCATTTAAAAATCGTCGGTCATAGCCATCCGTTGAGATTGGTAAAACCACACATTACTTTAGCTGTGGGCTGTACTCCTCAGGAACTCCCATGTGCCAAAATTTAGCAGATTTTGTGCCAAAACTTTAACATGATTTGCACTAATAGTTAAACCTTATAAGTGCTGAAATTCAACCTTATCACCATTTAAGCACCTATGTTTAATGCCAGAAACACTGAAAAGTTTTATAACAAATGGCAACGGGACTGTATAAAAGACAAGTTGAACAAAACAATTTTTCTTGAGTTCATAGCTCTTCCAAATTAAGATGAGAGGACTTGAGTCTGGAATACTGGAGCTGGTACATGCATATGATACATTTAATTGCCCCAGCCATTGCTTGTTAAGCGTTGGGTGAGGTTGCATCATTTTCCAAAATTCCTTAGTTGTAGTCGGGTTCAAGTTGCGCTGAAAGTGAAAAAAGACCTAGACCTCACCTGACCATGATTCGCAACTCTTCTCGTTCCTTTTCAATATTCTGTCTGGTTTCTTCCAGCTTTGCCTGGATTTCAGGCACAGAACATTGTTCAAATAATGCTTGTATGTCCATGGTAGAGCTGAAATGGCAGAACCAAAATGAGCTGTCCGTTTTGGCGATGGTGTCATACACTTAGCAATTTAACTTAACATTCTTGTCAAGAAACACAGTATCAGACATCACAAATACCTCATTCTGATTTCAATCAAAATTCTAATCTAAAGAGTGAAGAGCAAGACCCTGATAAGAGAGAGAGACTGAGGATTGGAAGTCAATCCCTCTCCAGACACGTATCACATTGGCTATGTTGAATATCAATAAAGTGTTCAAGTAATAATAAAAACGCTAGCGTTGATAGCTGCTTACTGCAAGGTCCTCCCTTGATTTGCGGTTAGCATCAAACTGCATCAGTATTGGAGCATTATAAACATAATATTCATCAATATTATGAATTAGCTGAGCCAGATATGTCGAAAGAAGTCAGCTGATTGAAAGGTACAGCACTACGAATTTATTCTACCGAGTCGCATGAATTTCGCATTCATGATCCGCATTTTTTCTCGAGAAATTCTCGAGAATGGACTACGGTTTTGAGATTTTCTTCCTTATGACAATCGTCTATTAGTTACTACATACACCCAATGAGTGGCCTTTGCGATGTCAGTCAGGTCAGCATCTCACTGTATTTAGTTGGAAATACCCTTGCTTGGGAACGTCATTCAGTCATTGATGTTCAAATTAGATTCTAACACTTGGTAAATGAATGGCCGAGTCAGGCTATAGTCTATTTAAGGCCCTAAATCAAAACATTTAAATCATATCAAATATTTTTTATTTCGTAACAGCCAACGATTCTGAGTCCACATCGTCTGAGAACAACTCGAACCACTTTCGTTCGAACTCTTCACATGACACCTCCCACTGCACGACGCCATCCACTTTCTCCTGGAACTTTGAGCTGCCCCGGTCCACAAACTCATCGTCGCCCTGCGCCGGCGCGGGGCCGGCGCCCCACATCAGCCGCTGGCGCAGCCTGGCGTTCAGCTCCTCGGAGGCGGGCTCCTCGCCGGCCAGTGCCGCGTCCACCTCCCGTAGTCGGCCGAGCGCCGCGTCGGCTACAAACGAGCGGGCCGCGCGCGCCGCCTCGGCCAGCGCCGCGCGCGCCCACAGCAGCGCGCCGCGCCGCAGCCGGCGGCTCCGCTGCGGCCGGTGTCCGGCGTCCGCCAGCGCTCCGTACGTGTCGGCCAGCGCCAGCCACGCCAGCGGGCTCTGCTCGTCGGCGGCGACGGCCGCCTGCTGGAGCGGCAGGGCGCGCTCGGGCCGGCCCAGGCGGCGCTCCGTGTCGCCGGCCAGAGCCGCCCACACCAGCAGGTGGTCGCGGTTCTGCAGCAGGCCGCGGCTGCGCTCCAGGTGCAGCAGCGCCTCCTCCGGCCGCCCCAGCCTCAGCAGACAGCGCGCACAGCTGTCCAGCAGCTCCCGCGTACTGGCACTGTTCCTCGTACTGCGAGCCAGGAGCAGCTCGTAGATGGCAAGGGCCTCTGCGTGCCGTCCGTCCACAGCCAGCTTGTTGGCGTGGAAGTAGAGCGGCATCTGGTTATCATCTGAGGGGTCTGGCAGCTGGCTGGGATCAGCATACCACCGTGGGTCTTCAAACTTGGGCACATAGTCAGCTGCAGTGAATGCTGGTCGTTTGAGTGAGCTTTCGGGCTCCAAATCATCATCGCTGAATTGCAGACCAAGATCCATTTTGGCTACCTGGGAAACAAATATTAAAATAGTAAGGCATGTTGCAGGCTTAATGTTCAAGGTTTTCTTCGGAGTTATTCAAGAGGACTCCCCGACTATATCCTTTCTGAAACCTACCGTACATCAGAAGCGAAAGGGGCACTTATCAGAGCGTTCGGTGCAGTGATGTGTGACATCTGGCGTCGGTCGGACGAGCCAGATCGGGTGCTTACCACAGCACCAGTCAAGTCAGAGATCCAGCGATTTGCGCCATATTTCATGGGTAACCAGCAGCAGGACGCCCAAGAGTTTCTTAGATACCTGCTGGAAGGCCTGCATGAGGATACCAACAGCGACTAGCCGGCCAAAGCCCATCACAACTGGCACCGAAGACTCGCTGAGTGCCAGCGCCCAGCCAGAGGTCCATTGAAGCCTGGAACCGCTTTGTGCGCCTGGAAAACTCAAAGTTCGTGGATCTGTTTGTGGGCCAGCCAAAATCGACTTTAAGGTATCATGTGTGCAGTCACGAGTCGGTCAATTTTTTTACCCTTTCTGGGACCTGTCACCTGAGCCTGCCAATTTCGTCGCAGACCGACCGGCTGCACCTGCAGTCGAGCTTTGACCTCTTCACCGAGTAGGAGGTGCTGGATGGCGACGAAACGCCGACTTGCTCTGAATGTGAAAAGTGCCAGAAATGCACAAAGAGCATCTCAATTCAGATATTTCCGCAAATCTTGGTGGTGCACCTGAAGCGTTTCTCGCCGCACAAAAGTTCTTGTGACAAAGTCAGCACCCTCATTGACTTCTCCGCAAATGGACTTGACCTAACATCCTACTCGGCTGTACAGAATCCATGCCAGTATAACCTTTACGCGCCCCACTGTGGTCTGCGTATAACGCGCCCTATGGGGGGGGGGGGGCTATTCATAGCCCATTTTAAGCATGTTGTGAGTGCCCAAACCGGTAATTGCAGGCTAGGGACCCCAATCTGGCTATCTCAACTCAAAACTAATGCTAAGGTGGGATAGTCACTTAAACCATCTGGGCACCATATCCTCAGGACATTACATCGCCTACTGCAAGAACCCACACACATCCGAGTGCTTGCAGTATGAGTTCAGTGATGCAAGGAAGGGTGCATCCCATTAATTATCCAGCTGAGGTCAGGGGCGAAGCCAAGCTGGATGGCGCCTTCCACGATCATTCTGGGCGCCCAAGGCGCCTTTTCAGTGTCCAGCACTCTAGGCGCCCTCGACGGTAAGCCATTGCGGCACGCCTTCCTTGCTCGGCATTTAGAACGTCCTCCTGAACCGAAATTGGCGCCCTACTGACCCAAAAGTGGCGCCCCTGAGCCGAAATTGGCGCACTCACCAATTCTAGCCCCCTCCAAAAAAATCCCTGGCTCGCCCTTGGTTGAGGTCCTCCTGCGGCAGTGTCCCAAAATTGTAGCTTGGCTTAGGTGTCAGAGGGGAAATTTACCTCCAAAAAAGGCGGATAAGAGCGATTTTTTATTTTTCGATTGCACATGAGATATAATGTGTCGCAATGCACATTGCACAGCTTCTCGCAGCTGCATTGCCAGACAATGTACACGACAGACCGTGTGCCGCGTGGAGGTCACCTCTCCTAGCAGACTCTGCTTAACCGAAGCCGTCGCGGCACAGCCATGCGGCCGCCGGTGTCAACAGTGGTGCTGAAGGCTGTCGCACTGGACTTGGAGGCTGTCGTGTTGGAGTCCGGAGAAAAGACACACAGCAAAAACCTCGCCTTAATGCCATGCTAGCATATTCAGGACTCCATCTGGTCCTGCCGTGTGCGGCCTTCGGGTTTGCGGTGGCGGCTGGCCTGCCAGCGGTCGATGTAGCGCTGGCGGCCAGCATAGTCGGGTGGCGCGCCCAGCTCTGCCGCCGTGCGCGGCACGCCCAGCGTCTCCGGCAGCATGAACGGCTTCAGCCACAGCACCAGCGGCGACACGCCCGGCCAGTAGTGCGCCGCGCGGTGGAAGAACAGCGCCCCGTCGGCGGTGGCGGTGGCGGTGGCCGCCAGCTCGGCAGGCCCGCACGCCGTGTGGCTGATCGCCACGAAGCGGTACGGGTTGCTGCGCGAGGCGACCCCCACCTCCGGCGTCTCTGACAGCTTCGTCTGCAGCCACGTGAAGCGGAACTCTGCCTCGCATTCGAACACCTGGTGGCCGTTCCAGGCGAGCAGATCGAGCACGTGGAACGTGCCGGCCGCCTGGTCCCAGATACAGTCGAGCACCGTGGGCCGCTGGCCGAGTGGACCGCGCCAGCCGGCCGGCAGCCGAGACGGGAACGTGCGCAGCAGCGCGCCGGCGGCGCTGTACGAGCGCGTGCACCGCCGCTTGGCCACGACCAGGCACCGTTTGCCCGGAGGACACATCTTGAGCAGCCAGTCGGTGTGCAGGTCGGCCGGCACCGTCTCCATCCACTCGGAGAACATCAGCTGGTTCGAGTACTGCGACTGATAGAAGCCCTGTTTTCTGTAGCTGAAGGCGGAGGGCAGTGCGGCAGCGTCCAGCGCCTCCTCGTCATCGTCCGCCGTGATGGCCCGCAGACGATCCAAGCGACCATCCCGTTCGCGTTTCTGGCGCTGCAGCAGCCGGCTGCGCCGGCACTGCTGGCTGACGGACGCCCGGCCGGCGTTCTTGTACTGCGCCAGTCGGGGGGCGTGGAGCGGCTCGTCGGGCTCGGCACCGCTCGCCAGCCGGCTGTCGGCTAGCTGCGAGGCCAGCTGCTCCATCACGGTACACCGCCAGCAGTCTAAACCGAAATAACACCCACATAAATCTGTTAATCTTTGACTTGAGATATTTGTATCATGGCCCTAATGTCCAGGGAAATTGCTACCTATTACTATGGACGTCAAACCCCTTGAGACCCCACTTTTTTGCGATAATTTTTAAATGCGTCAACTCTCGTTGACAATATTCTGGCAATGTGTGTTTCAGAACCTGCCGAAACTTTTATTACTAAGGTATTTTGACGCCAAACGATTATGAAAGGTACTTCTCATTCACTCGTAATGTTAAATTTCATGGAACGAACCTGCTGTTTGGGTAGAAGCTACGCGCTCATGGGGCGGAGCCACGTAATGACGTCAGCGCTAAGCTCCGCCCTACCCCTCCGGCGCTCCTTGCCCGGCGACCGGTCACTCGCGTCTCTCGCTCCATTCAGGCTTGATGGTGGGCGGTAGCTGGTAGCGGTAGCGGGCGCTGGTAGATGGCATTTAGAGCAGATGGCGCTGGTGGCGGGGCTCGAGTGTGGCCGAGCGCAAGCCTCTACCCGGGCCTGGATTGACCTTAGCATTACGAGTGAATGAGAAGTACCTTCCATAATCGTTTGGCGTCAAAATACCTTAGAAATAAAAGTTTCGGCAGGTTCTGAAACACACATTGCCAGAATATTGTCAACGAATGTTGACACATTTAAAAATTGTCGCAAAAAAGTGGGGTCTCAAGGGGTTTGACGTCCATAGTAGATAAGGCCCAAAAAGAGTGGGAAAGGGTCCAATGGCAAACATTTATTGTTTATATACAAGCTTGGTAAAATGTAGGATGTAAAATGATCACCCATGCAAATGCTTTTTCTCAGTAAAATTGGGGGGTGGAAAATTGCTCATAAAAATTAGGGATAAGAGTGCACAATGATTTTCATTTGGATGTCACTTCCCACCCAAATCAACACATTTTGGGACACTGTCCTGCAGTGAGGCGTATACATCCTCTTTTTCGAGCTGGGTAGTGTGTCACAGACTCACAGCTGTAGAAAAGCATGTGTCGGTCATTTCCCTCTTTGGCACTCTTTTAAACTGAAGAAATTCACAAAACAAAATCATGAAAGAAAGAACACATCCTTCTAAGGTAGAAAAATTAGATTACACATAAAATACTTAAAAATCGATACTTATAATAATTTTTACACAAAACATTCGTAAGTTACACCCAACCACTCGTTGTCGGGTAAGGTTATGTGGTATATGAGTAGATTTAGGTTGAAATAGTAGGTTGTAACTTGTAGGTTGGTAGGTGTAGGTTGGTAATGGTAGGTGTAGGATGGTAGGTTGTAGGTGTAGGTTGTATGTTGGTAGGTTGTAGGTTGGTAGGTTGTAGGTTGGTAGGTTGTAGGTTGGTAGGTTGTAGGTTGGTAGGTTGTAGGTTGGTAGGTTGTAGGTTGGTAGGTTGTAGGTTGGTAGGTTGGGTAGGTTGTAGGTTGGTAAGTTGTAGGTTGGTAGGTCGTAGGTGTAGGTTGTAGGTTGGTAGGTCGTAGGTGTAGGTTGTAGGTTGGTAGGTTGTAGGTCAGGGTAAATATTTTCTTAAGGACCGGCACACTTTTCAAAGGTAAATTTTTAGACATTCTTCCATTATTTGACATCCTAATCAAGATATGATGCTTACATGTCACCAAAACTACAAAAAGCCACAATAATTTGATAAAACCCACCCACCTCACTCCGCGTTGCGGCGTCACGTAATGTACTCCGCAAATTTAGGGCCTTGCTCCGCAAGTACCGCAAGTACTCCGAAGAAATCATACGAATGCGGCGATTGTGAGATAAACAACGTGTTTGCGCCGCTGCCATTTGCGAAAAAGAAAAATGTGTGCATGTTCAATTTGATGAAAATGACGTAATAATACCAAACAAAAAAGGGGAAAAGTTGGGTGGGAACCGGGGTTTTTGGGTGAGGGAGCAAAACCATGCGACGGAAATAAAATTTCAGAACAAAACCAAACCTTACCTTACCTGACCTACTGATTTTTGCCTACCCGGGGATAAGGAAAAAGTTTCTCGCATGAATAGATTGCAATCAATAGTAGCCAAATAGGCAACCACTTAACCTAAAAATGTTTGATTTGACCTACCCGAACCCAAGATTCTTACAGATACCAAACCTACCATTGCCTGTTATCTCTCCTAAGGGATTGCCGGGCATTGCCTTCGGCACTGCGCTGCTTCGCAACGAAAAAGTTCATGACGTCACTTTCCTCGCAGTTGAATAGCAGGTTGAATAGCATCGTTAATACGTATTCACTCAACCTTGGAGCGCAGTGCGCGTGGCCGGTGTGGCGGGTGTTTCTTACAGGTATTTTGTGGGTATTTTGGGCGGGTGTACGCGGTGGGGGGTACTCCGTACTGGTACGGCGGTGGCGGTAAATATTGTATTGGTGCATTTAAACTTGTTTTTGCCATGAATAACTATCAGCTATGAAATCAGGAGGTCAAATTATGTCATGTGATATGCTTTTTACTATCACTTGAGGTTCGCAACGAAAGTAATGGCTGCCGGTCCTAAAGTAAATAAATACGAAGTTACCTACGTACCAATGCTATTGTCTAAGAGGTGTTTTTAGGCTTCTTAGCTACGACTCATTTTCTTTTCCTGAGTGTGTGATGCATCCACGTTACTTATGAATCAACGGCCTCCGCGCCTGCTATTACCGCCTCTCCCCCCCCCCCCCTTCCCGGTATTCGGTATTCCTGGCAACAGCCAAGGTCGCACGGGCAGCCCGGCCTGCTGACCCGCCCCTTTACGTCACCGTCTCAGTCTCCCCGTCCGCAGGTCACGCCCGGCTGGCCGAGCTCAGCGTGACGTCAGCGACACACCCTCGTCTGTCCGGTATCGACCTGCGCGGCGCGTCGGCGGCACGCAGCCCGGTCCCGGGTGGGAGGGAGCACATGAGCCCGCCCAGCGCCTCCGCCGACGCAGACGCTGACGTCAACCTCAGCCGGCCGCACAGCTCTCGGCGCCGGCGGTTATTTCCGCTCCGGGGACGGTCCCATCGCGCCACGCGCCACTGCTGGCACCGAGTGCAGCGACAGTGAGCGGCTGCCAGCCTCAGTGTGCGCCCCTCGGCCGAGCGACCGCCACCGCCTGCTCGCCGCCGCTGGTCCGAGACACGAGGTCATACAGCGGGTCACAGGACTGTGAGCGGCGAACGGAGTGACCGGCGGTGACACCGTGTGACCCGGGTGACCTCAGGTGTGACCGGGTGACCTCGCGTGTGACCGGTGACCGGTCGCGTGTGACCCAGTCGGGCGGTCCGCTCTCGTTCGGCGATGCTGCAGCGTTCGCGTGCGGTGCTGCGCCTGCTGCGGGAGCAGCGGGCGCTGTCTCCGGCCGGCCGCGGCGCGGTCAGCAGTCCCGCCACCCCGACCAGGGCGGTGGCCGGCGGAGCGCACCCGTTCGGCCCGCCGCCGCCGCCCCTCACCCGGCGTCTGCAGGTCACCAGGCGGTGTCAGAGTCTCAGCGACGTCAACAACGTGAGTAGCCAGAGTCTACCATGAGTTGTCTCGGCAATGTTACCGTGAGTTGCCAGAGTCTCGGCAATGTTACCGTGAGATGCCAGAGTCTCGGCAATGTTACCGTGAATAGCCAGAGTCTCGGTAATGTTACCGTGAGCTGCTAGAGTCTCGGCAATGTTACCGTGAGATGCCAGGGTCTCGGCAATGTTACCGTGAATAGCCCGTCATCATTCGCATCTTCGATATGCCGATGTAATTTGATCATTAGGTTTTCTAAATCTGACGTTCATGTCCAGATGGGCCCAATGGATGCTCAACGCTCATGTCGTCGTAAGCGCAAATTGCAGACGTTTCATAGTTCCTCACGATTCCTGGATCAGGGAGCCGGATGGTCTCTGATACGACGATCGGAAGAATAGCTCATTGCGTCATACGTGCTCTCTGGAAAAGAACATCTGTGTCAAATTTTCCGATCGATAAAAGGGTGTCCACCGAGCAGTCACCGTTTGAGAAGGCGACGTAAGACGGTCAATGGTGACGACTCATGGACTGGTCGAGGGCATTCGGCCTGGCCGGTGGTGCGGCTGAGTTATATCGGCTTCAATTCAACCTGGGCTAGATTCGCAGTGTCTGATAGCAGCAGCGCCTATTGCTAACAGTGCATTGGTTGACGATTTCAGGGAGGCAATGAGCTGTAAGATCGTTTTTATACCCGATAGTTCAATCAAGTAATAGTTAGGTGATCTAAGGTAGCTACTTTAACACAAATTTTAATTTTTCATCCTTACTTTATGCTGAATGTTAAGTATATTTTAAGCATTATTTTGTGGTTCAAATTGAACGTGTCCCAGCAGCATTGGTATTTGGTAACGCTGTTTCGTGCGCATACATTCTCACCTTTCAGTATAATGCTAACGCAATGATGCACGTTTTTTTTCCCACTTGCATATCAGCATATGTGCACTGTGCACATCATGCATAAATGACACGTTATACATGCATGCACAAGTACGGGTGTCCTTCAGCCACTGTATGTATTCGGCGCCGCGCCTGGTTTCACGGGACCTCGGCTTACCACCGGCCATCGACCGGTGCTTGTGGTCGGCGTGGGTCGGGGAGCGATCACCGGCCGCTGATGGTCCCACAGACCGGCGGCGGTGGAAATCACTGGCTGAGTCACGGCGGGAGAGAGTATAGCGGCAGATTGATACTGTCGACCAGGGGCGACAGTCATCGACAGCCCTGCTGTCATATGTGACAGACAGCCACTGGCAGGCGTACTTCACCGAGGCCGACAGTTTCTGGCAGCTCAGCTGTTATGTAACAGTGGTGGCGAAATAACTATACCTGCTTGTTATTTTACTAACGTGAAGCGCCAGCGGTTATGGGCGAAGTTTGGGTTCTACGCTATCGGCAGTGCTGGTGATGCTTTCACGATTTCATCATAGAAGTGGTAGCCAGACGAACTTATGGCGCCTTGTGGGCCATATAATCATTCAGCATATCCAATGCATATTTTGTGGGCCTAGCTTTGGACACCCTGGTGACAAATAGTACGGTAGCTGATTTAATTTGATATCGTTAGCGTTTTATTCGCTGTACCAGATGAGATGGAAGCAGCTACCTCAACTTGTAGACTGGACATGGCCCATGAGTTGTCACGCCGCTTAACCCTATTCCTGGCGGGCTCCGCCGGGACAAGAAACTGGCGGGGGGGGGCCGATTCGGCCCCCCCCCTGAGATCTCGAGAACGAAGCAAGATAGCGACAAGCGGTAAACGGCATCGGATACGCACGGCCAAGATCTACAATTTTTAATAAGGTCATTTTCAGGTCAGGTCAAAGATGACGTCACAGGGGTCGAAAAAGTCAAAATGGCGGCACTAGATATGGAGAGTTTTTCTCGAATAACTTTCGAATTAGTCAAGATAGGAACAAACTAAGGGCATCATCGTGATCCTCTCGTCAATCCGCATCGAATGATATATATGTTGACCTCGAAAGGTCAAGGTCAAAGGTTGACCTCAGGTCACGTGACCTCGAGGTCATCATGTATATCATTCGATGCGTCTTGACGAGCTGAACACAATGAGACCATCCACGCGTCTGTATCTTGTTCCTGTACGGAGTTATTGGCCAAAAACCTTTGGTGACCTCTGATGACGTCACATGACCTCACAGCTGCCCAACAGCAAAACAGACCTCAAGGTAGTGAAGGTTGATCGTATATGAAGTCATGTATGGTATATGGGGCCATTCCGACCCGTTTTAGTGGTAAAAACAGGGAGTTGATTTTTCCCCCATTGACTTATAATGGGGAGGTCGCGAAATTGACCTGACCTTAGGTCACCGATATCAAAATTCCGAGATATACAAATTGCACATACTGGTACCCTAACTAAACCCTGAAGAGAAGAAATTGATCGGTCAAAAACTCTAGCTCTGGCGTGATTGCAAACTTTTCTGAGGTAGCGTCACCAAACCGCCTCTGGTGACCTGACCTGAGGTCAGATCAACTCAAAATTTTCAGACATGTTGCGTAGAAGCCTTTTAGGAAAAGTCAGAAAATTTGAGCTTCCTAGCTCAACGCGTTTGGGAGATATAACCAAAAAACCTCAGGGGGGGGGGGGGCTCCTGAGGCCCCCCCCCGCCAGGAATAGGGTTAAATTCTTTGTACAAGTGTCGTGCTTAAAAGGCATTGCAACAGCCAACAGGTACGTACAGTCACCAGCAGTTGCTACCCATCACCCCCGGACGGCGGGGGAGCAAGCTACCACCGCCCCTGCGAGACTAGCGCCGCCATGCGCCGAGAAGTGGAAACACCACGTGACTGAGGCCACGTGAGGGCAGGGTCACGTGATGGAGGGGCGGAGCATAGTAGCTTTTGCGCCCGACACTAACTGAAATGCGGCGCTGTGATTGGGTGCCTTAGCATGAATGAAGCCCCGGCGCCAGAATCAGCCGTTCGCCTTATATGGAAAGTGAGCCTTTGCGTTTCACTGTTCTGTATTGGTTTGAGAGCCACGGCACCATACGAATTGTGAGCCCCTTTGAACGGGTCACCGCCCGAGGCACTGAGGCGACGGCTGTGCCGGGCAAAGTCTCGCCTGGTGGGAGAGGTGGGCCAGGGAAAGTGCGATCGAGTAGCCACTGGGACGTGGATTGGTATTATCCAACCGCGACAAACTATGTCAGCAGCCTCTTCTCGTGTCATAGACAGTGTCTATGACACGAAAAGCTAGACAGACAACGTGGGCAGTGCCCAATCAAAAGCTACTAAACGATCCAGTTAAGAAGTTGGCGAGGTTGCCAGACCAAATAAAAAGTTTTTAATTCGATTTTGGTTGACAAATGACATACAAGCCCGCTGTGATGGACCAAAAAAAGGAGCTGAACAGTCCATACAACTTCTAAAAAGCTCAACGGTTTAAAAATTCAAAAATTAAATGTTAAAATTCAGCCTGCCTGTTTAAACTCTGGTCCGGCGCTGGCAGGAAGCTTATATTGCCACTTGCAATTCCATTTCCACTACTTTGTAATATAACCAAGAGTTCTGTGAGAGCAGCAACTGAAAGCCCCGTTGAGGGGGGGGGGGGGCGGCGCGAAACGGCCCCCTCTCTCCTTTTCAGTCGATATCTCCTAAAGTATAGCAAATGTCGCCACCAAACTTTCAAGACCCCTCCGGGCATCATTTTTACACCTTGTGACCAAATTTTTCCAGAGCTCTTATGAAAGGTTAGTCACAAATGACGTCAGAGGGATGCCATGTTCTGTCATTTTCGACCCAATAAAAGGTTTAGCGGGAAGAGCTGTCACGCTTACAGTTTTGAAGATAACGAAAATATTCAAGATCAAAAAGATGTAAAATAAACAGCGCTACCAAACTGCTAGCTCTTATTTCCAAACAAAAATTGATTTTGACCATCAAAACAAAACTATAGAAGTATAACACCCCGAAAATACCAGCAACTTTCAAAACTAAAACTGAAATATATGTTATAAAACTATCTGCTCTAGATATGCCAAACTTAAACTCGATAGCTCCATCTCTAGCAAAGTTATGGCAAAAAAAATCATCTCAAAATTTATTACGTAAAATTTTCAAATTCAATTTTAGCCGTCACAGAACACACAAAGCAAGCCAAAGGCCACCATTGGATTTCCTGTGATGAGCTGCATCGAATAGATACCCCTTGTATGCAAAATATCAACTTTGAAATTTGACCTTCTTTGACCTGACCTTGACCTGACCTCCACCAGAATGTAATCTAAACTGGCCCTAATGGCCGTCTGGCTCACACCATTGAATTTTAAATGTAAAATTGCCCATAAAACATGTATCACACGACCCTAGCATAGTTGGGTTCATATTGTGACCCTTAGTGACCTGACCTCTGTGAACTGACCTGGCATCAATGACCTCTTTAGGTAACATATGCATTAGACAACCAACGCTCCATCGATGTTTTTCGATAACATGCCTTTTATTTGATGTGTTAACTGACTGTAACGCATTCCTTAGACTAAATCGGTGAAAAAGTGCGACCTTTGACCTGACTTGTGACGTCATGGGTTGCACCTAGGTCAACGAAACCTGGTAACAAGGTAGTTACCTGGTGGGGCTATCGAACGCTTTTTGAATGTTTAAAATCGGTCGGTAACTTTCCGAGTTCTCAGGTGGAGGGCGAAACGGCTGCAACACCCGATCAGGTGGTAGGGTCCGCCAATAGCCCAAGATGGCGCGGAATATTTATTCACTCATACAGTGTCATTTATATTGAGAACACCTTTCTCACGCCATGACATGGTCCTCTCGTAATAGAACGAGATGAGGAGTGTTTTCACGCCTCCTTATGCACGGCTCTAAGTGTCATTGAGCTATGAACTGTCAGCGGTTTTCGGACAATGAAGTTCTTAGTTCTTATTGAATCCAATTTTATTTCAAACGATTGTCACTGTGCTAGTTTTCTTCTTATACGTTTTTGAAAAAACGCTGAAGAAGTCTTTGATAGACGAAAC